GTTTGTGTGTCTTGTCCGCAGGTTTGTCGTGTGGGCTTTGTTTGTGTTTGGTGCGGTCCTCTTGTAATCACATTATAAAGGTAGACTATAACACACCTGTGAATAAACATTCTTGGTGAATAAATCCTATTAATAATGACCAGATATTTTGTGTTCGTCGTTTAACCTAAATACCTGACATAGTATATAAATTATACCTATAAGTATTTCTTCATGTCATTTAACAAGTAAATAAACATACACACTGTATAGTAATTGTCAATAACTATTATTAACATATACCATTTTTCTGTGATTTCGACGAAAATAAAGTATGGAATTAGGTTCATCTGAGGGGTTATTTCAGTAAGTAATGGTGCAGGTTTTATTGCTGTTGACCTTGGTGGCGACGCTCTCCGAAAACCCCAAGCCTCCGCCAATACAAGTATGATCAACACGATACTTGGCATGGTTAAATGTTCCTTGGACAATTGGGGGGTTGGATGGCTGAATGGTTAGCGTGCGCGCGCTGTATCATAAAGTCTGTCATTGAGTCGACTGGCGTGGTTTCGAATCCCCGGTTGTACGTGACAAGGAGTAGGGTCGTGGGTTTTCTCCGGGTCCCCCGGTTTCCTCCCACTGCTAAAGACCCCTATGCGCAAGCAAATTATTGAAATAAAATTAAACCATATGTTAGTCCCGAAATGACCTAGTTGTGTCGAGTGGACGTTAAACCCCATTTCTCTCTCTCTCTCTCCTTGGACAATTGCGAACACAGTGTTTAAAAGATTCGACAAAGTTTCGAGACATTTCAATGTGGACGTACAAAAATCAGTAATATGGAAACTAAGAACCACCGTTTGCTTAATATCACATTATTAATATATAAAACAATATAATCCAAATTGGTGTCAGGTTCAACGTGATTCTTTCAGTTTAATCTGAAGAGACCGACCTTTCGGCATACTTTATAGCATCGTTAAAGATCCCATTAAGTATTCCTGCGCACGGTGTCCACAATGAGCCGTTTGGAAAATTAAAGTGTACACGTGCGAGTATTGAATTGAATGAATCTGTATAAATGAGGGAGGCAGGTAGGAAAATAATCTACCTGTCGCCAATGGCCATCAAACGTGGAAAAAATAGATTTTTCTGTCTGGAATCTTTGTACCATAAATCAATGTCGGGGTTGATCCGATAAATATACATCTAGTGTAGAACGTATATAATTATCGTCTACAAACCATCGAACAATATTCATTAAATCTAGAGATAATTATAGCATTCATCCAGGCCATCATGATCAGACTAAATTATTAGGATAACTTCAGGGGGTCGACAATCATGGATATAAATATTGTTTAGATCAAAATGATTCAGATTTATACGAGATGGACTAAAGTGGTTTATTGGTTATTCACAATATATCAGTTTGTAAATACATCAAGATAGAATTAAGTTAAAATCGGTACACATCGTTCAATTACACTAGCACACGTCATGTGAAAAACCAAGTAATGAAATGAAATGAAATGAGATTTAACGTCCACCTGGATCCGCACCACTGATTGTTTAGATCAAATTGTTTCAGAAATGAAATGAAATGGGGTTTAACGTCCTACTGTTCTGCTCCTATAGTGGGCTAATGAAGACGGGCATACACCATACAGTGTGCTATGAGGGAAATTTTGCCCGGGCAGCGGCACTATCGCCTACACTTATATCGAATTCCAACTGCCAAGGGATCATTTACGTGCATTCCAATGTATACACGGGACCTGTCCATGTCAGGCCCTCCGTTCTGCACCACTGACAAGGGGAAACCACGTCGGAAAATCCAGATGAACTTTCTCGGCCAATGCAGGGATCGAACACCCGACCTCCAGGCTAGCGAGCCAGCGTCTTAACCACCTGGCCACCGTGGCTCACAAATTGTTTCAGATTTATAGGGGATGGACTTAAAGTGTTTATACACAATATTTTGAAAATACATAAAAATAGAATTAAGTTTATATCAGTAGGCCTACATAATATTCAATTACAGCTAGCCAAGGCAATCAGTGGAATGGATCTGTTCCCCACCAACAGGGGTAATGAAGACATACAAACATGCTGGCTTTATAAAGGACCACTTCTGGGAGTATTCTACATTCCCGATATTAATTTTACAAGGAAGATTGGAAAGAAATTCACCTTTTTCCGAATGAAAAGTCAGATTAACAGGGAAAAGTTCTCATGGTTATGGTTTTGGGTGCTTAGATTTTGGATACAGTCTGAATAGGGTCATATTAAATGCGGACTTGATATAAATATTCTTAGCTGAGCATAGTTGTAAGTGCCCCGACCACCCTTCCCCTATCCTACAGACTTAAAATATGTACTTTTCATTCAAAGCTATCTCAAACTCCACGAGACAATGTTTCGCCTTTCTGATGGATACTAATTATTTATGTTGATTGTGTTCCTTATCTAGGACATACCTCCAAATGCATCTTTCGCCGGGAGTTTTTGGTATAATTTTCGGACTCTCGATGCATGTAAAATTCCTATTAAAAACGACTTCACGGTTGTCTACAATAAAGTAAATCACAAGTTTACATACCGTAAAATGTCACGCTAGCTTTACTATCATAAATATTTATCTACTTTTTATTTGTGTGTCACGCAATTTTTTCCATAACAACGAATAATATATTATCTTTCTAAAGTTAAGACGTGGTGGATATAAGCTGAGATGGTTGATGAGAGAGAGAGAGAGAGAGAGAGGGAGAGAGAGAGAGATATTTCTAGACTACCATATGATTTAAGTTATTTCAATAATTCGCTTACAAAAAAGTGCGTATCGGTCTTTAGCAGAGGGGGGGGGGGGGGGGCTGGAGGATAACGGAGGACCCTGGGAAAACACACGAGGTTGGACAGGCGGGCCTACAGCTTGTCACGTACGAGCGGGGAATCGAAACCACGTCTCCTCCACCCCCGGAAACAAAAAAAAAAAATAATGGGCTAATAATAATAAAAAAATAACAACCCGATAACAATCAGCCGTTCCTGATCGCAACTTGAAGTCCTCTGGAAACCATGGGGTTATTCTAGAGGGGAGTCGAGCTTATTGATTTTATAAACAATAAATATAAATATATTACGTGACAATTTCAGAAAGATATCCTTGGAATTATAGAAGAGTAAATATATCAAAGGACATAATATTCAATGAACATACCTTTCTGACAAAATTGCGTGACAAACAAATAAAAAGTAGATAAATATTTCTGTTTCTAGAGGGTGTACATGCTCACTCTGGTTATCATAAAACACTGCAAATAAAATGATAACATTCGATAATCTAAAGAATACATGAAATGTCATACGATACAATCACAAAGTTTTTTTAAAAAGCGTATAAACAATATTTTGCAGATGCATCAATACCTCGGCAACCAAATCCTACAGGATTATTGTCTCACTAATGTTATGACATGCCTTGGGTTGATCAGACCGGCTCACCACAAGTAGCAAAGTCGTCTGTGCGAGCTCCAAAATCAATGTTAATTCCACAGAGTAATAAAAATACATCTAAAAGTTAACATAGGGTTGCCAAGCAACGTAGTCCAACTACCAACATTTTGAATGGTGACTTTCAAGTTGTCACTGTAAGGGGCAATAACCCAATATAAAATTGATGAGCGATTCTGAATTTCGTTTGGATTCCACTTTATGATTAGCCCAGCCAACAAGTCTAAAAATCTGACGTGGAGTGCTTATAAGGTTACGGTGATAGGGCCAGTAACTCTAACAAAACCAATGCATGGGCGACTCTGAATTTTGTAGCCGAAAACTCCAAGCCTAAATAAGAAAATCACAAAACCTCTGATCCGAGAGTAATATCTGACTTTTGACAGGGTTTCTCCTTAGAACTAATCCAATAATCCCAGCAAGTAGATTGTTTACAAGAATTGTGTAAGATATACTGAAATCTGCCTACCATTTTTTTTTACAAACTGTTTACCTTACCCCCGAGCACGTCACCGTACGGGGGCCACGGTGGCTAGGTGGTTAAGACGCTGGCTAGCTAGCCTGGAGGTCGGGTGTTCGATCCTGCATTGGCCGAGAAAGTTCATCCTGATTTTCCGACGTGGTTTCCCCTTGTCAGTGGTGCAGAACGGAGGGCCTGACAAGGACAGCTGTCTAGTCCTTCGGATGAGACGAAAAACCGAGGTCCCGTGTATACATTAGAATGCACGTAAAAGATCCCTTGGCAGTTGGAATTCGATATAAGAGTAGGCGATAGTGCCGCTGCCCGGGCAAAATTTCCCTCATTGCACTCTGTATGGCGTATGCCCGTCTTCATTAGCCCAGTATAGGAGCAGAACAGTAGGACGTTAAACCCCATTTCATTTCATTTCACGTCACCGTACATGTACAGTAATACAATGCATGCCATCTTGGTATTTACTATAGAAGGGAGATAACTACAGTTTCTGGCGTCATCTTTAAGGTTTGACACCTTTTTTTAATTCTCATTTCCCGACCAAAGATCAACTTGCACTTTATCAGTTGACTGGATGTTATCCAAATTAACATTTAAATACGCTTTTTTTTCATTGTCATACAATTTCCCAGGAATATGCCCTTATCACTGGTATTTAACATGTATATCAGAAACACTTTTGTTGTTTTAAATAAAGGATAAAGAATAACATAATGCAATTGATGTTACTTTCAAATTTCATTGTCTTATTTCTAAACAATGATTGCATGGGACTACAATCAGGGTCAGGTTTACCTATTTGTGGGCTCTAGTCTAATCTCATCAGTGGGATCCCATATTCATAGAAATATTGGCATGTTTCAGTATCCCAAAATTATACACTGGATCATGTGCGACCGCCAATGGCCTACAATGCTGACTGGTAAATCAGGTCCTGATTACAATGATGCGTAGCTTGGAGGGTACAGGGCTATATACACAAACCAAATACGATCTGATATTTGAAAAACAATCCCACACAATAAAACATATAAATATGGTGTCATAAATCAATGACTAATTATTTAATAAGTGTCATTTCATTAAAATATATAACAGGATATAAAATAAAACTGATGAAATAATTTATATCTGTACAACAGATGGTTTGTTATGGCCTACTATTAATATTGCTTGTACAACGTATGTGACAAGGTCGCCTGCCCAACCTTGTGTATTTTCTCTGGGTCCTCCGGATTTCTCATATGGCTAAAGACCCCTAGGTCCTAGCGAATTATTGAAATAAAATTGTACCATATTATGTTAGTCCCAAAATGACTAATATTAAGATATGTATAACATGAAATAAAATGAATGAACAGTAGAACAGGCCATTTTGAGACCAACATTGTGAAGAGGGATCACATACGATTTGATCACTAATCATGTCATGACAGTATTGTCTGACATATTGGTTAATCCAGAGATAAATTTACATACATGTATTTAGTTAGTGACAGCATCTGTGGTAGACCCAAATGAAAGAATAGTAAAAATATACTCATAAATAATCACATATATGTTATTTTTACAGAGACATTAACAAATATTGAACACAAAATAGGCATAAAGCTAAATACGTAATATAACATAATGTTGATCTGATTGGAATAGGTTTTAAATTATATGTTGTTTAAAGGGACAATAAAACTCTTGCTGGCTTGACAGCTCCAGAAAATAAATAATAGCCTTATTCTAAGTACTAGATGTTTAAGTGTCCTACCTGTTGTGTAAATTATCCATTACATCCTATTTTACTTGTCCAGAGGGTTCGAAAATATTTTTAAATCCAAGTCACGTTTGAAAAGGTTTACATTAGGCTTTTCAAATCATTTAGTTGAATTTTTCCAATTTTTTAAATTAGGTGTGTTAAGATGAAATTTGTATCACTAATTAATTGGAATATTGTAAAATAATATTGTAAAATAGTACAATTTGTTGACCAGAATAAAGATTGGGACATATTATACAGTTACAACAAGAGTGGTATTGCGCCTTTAAGCATGCTCTAAAGATTTTCTTTCACTTTTTGCTAGGCTCTCATTTCAGTCATATTAGCCAGTCTTGACTGACAGGTGGTGATATTGACCAGCTGCAGAACTTACCTGTCAGTCAATTTACATTCATAAAAATATAATAATTGGAATAATGCTAAAAATTGTTATATTCTTTGTAAGATATATCTTGCTAATCAAAAGTAAACAAAATACGTCAAATTTTTTTATTGTAAACTGTCCATTTCAATTGGCAACTGTCAACTGACTAACTTATTGCATTTCAAATAACAATATTATAAAAATAATTGAAGAAGCAATATTAAATGTTCTCTTTCATAGAATACATATTAATTGGTGATATTCAGATAAGCAACTTATATAGTCACTGAAATACTGTAGGCATTATGTTAGCATAAAATCTGTTTATGGTCGGGTGTTTTTCTGGCTTCAAATTTAATATAAATTATTATTCAGACATTTATGCACATGACACATCCATAATCAGCTCTCTAGAACATCGGATGGCTTAGATATTGAATGGATTAGAAAATGGCCAAAATATCTTTGTTAAACACAAATATAACCAGCCAAGCCCAAATTTTCCATTAATGCAAGACATCACTCTTGACAATCAAGAATATGAACTGTCAACGATCAGCAATTCTCGGCAATCATATATTCATTTTCTCTAAATCTTGCATAATGTTTTTTTTTAACAATCTAATAAACATAATGTATTGATTTCAGAATATATGAATAAAATAAAGATAATACTTTATATCATAAACAATATCTTGGCATAATCTACTGATAATTATAACAATCACTATTGAAAGCTAGACACAAAATTAACAGCAATTTGTTCACTTTAACTTTTAAACATTCCACTGCAGTGACCAATATGTTTATGATTATCACCAATAAAACACATCATCCAGGCTAATATAGGCAACACGCCCAACGTCAGAGTCATCAATAACAGCCCTGTCATTATTCTTCTATCACTCGTAGCCGATTCCCCCGTTCTGTGAAAATAAATAAAGTGTTTACTTTAACATAAAATATAAAGCAATACATTAAAAGACTAACTATATACAAGAAACCTAAATTTAGTTATTTTTCAGCAATAAAGTCCTGAATGGTCACCATTACTAATTATTGGCCCTGAATTGTCCCTGTTATTGATCACTACGACATAATTAATTTCCAAATTTTCATTGCTCCTACACAGGACGTACCCGGTAATTCTATGGAATACAATTAATGTTTATTACTGAACAATGTAAAGCCTTGTTGAAACATAGCTCAGTAATAAAGACCAAAGGGGTAATAACATTCCATAGAATTGTGTCCTCTGTATTTCCATTTCAATTATTAAATGCAAATTGAAACAATTTATTTCTTTATCTCCCTTACGGGTAAGTATCAACTGCCTCAGTAGTGTTTTCTCTGGGTATTGTATGTAAAAATGTTTATTCTATATTAATACAGTGGATTCTTGTAACTTACTTTCCAATTCCAGTAAACCTGGAAATAGTTAACCAGATGATAATGATAACCATTCCTGCAAATTCTCTGAAACAATTTAGAGAAATACCTTGATTATAGGTAACAACTTTAGGATATTTCAGGTTATATACTTGAACAGAAAAGATGATGGAACAGTTAAGCTCCAAGACAGAGTACCCTTGAGGTCCGAAATCAAGGGATGGGTTTTAGGGACTTGTGACAAGAAGCCTCCACTAGAGGGGGTTTGGAGATTAAAGTAAATTAAGCCATTGACCTAATAAACACCTACACCAAGTTTGAACATTCTAGCTCAATTAAAAGGAGAGTTTTTCAAGTTATTGTGTCCCAAAAAGAGTGACGAACAGACAGACGGACGGACGGACGAACCCATTTTAATAGTCCTCTGCTTTCTTTGAAAGTTGAGGGACAAAAATTATTTCATTTATGGATGCCAAATTAAAATATAAGGATTATCTAAATTTACTATTTAACAAAGAGTCCAATTAATATACTGTATTATATATTTGTTGTAAACTAACTACGACAAAAAACTGTATACTGGTGAAGGCCGGTGGGTGAAGCATTTCTAGATTCATAACACATAACTGTCTTTCTTGAGGGCATCATTTTTTCTACTCATACTAATGTCCCACATATTATCATACACTTGTATTATATAAAACAGGGTACTCACTTATAAATTTTGCCATTCTGACAATTTTTTCTGGCACTACAACTTTTTATTTGAGTTTTTTTTTCTCAGAAACACAATAAATTTAATAGAAATTATTCCATTTTAGGTGAAATCTTTAAAGATTCTATTTTTATGCCAAATATGACTGAAAGGGAAATCCAGATATAAAAGTAGCCCTTACCTGCCCTCTTCATGAATAAGTGGATTTTGTAAAGATGGTTTCTGTTTGATCGTGTCTATAAGGACAGCAATAAGATACACGCCATATCCCACAAACACAGCTAATACTACAGCTGTTAAACTGCTCAAAATACTAGTTTCTGAAGAGAAAAAGTTAAATGAAAAATAATAGATTCTGGAACATTGTAAGCAGTTTCCCAGCATGGTATCCCCTTGTCAGTGATGCTGGACGGAGTGTCTAGCAAGGAAGGGCATCTTGTTGATGGTACAAAAATTCAATCCTTGTGCATGCATTGGCCTGCATGTAAAATGTAAAAGAATATTTGATAGTTGTAACTTGATGAAGAGTAGGCAGAAACGCCACTGTCAGGGTAAAATTGCCCTCATCATAGTACACTGCATGCCCATCTTCATTTGGTGCAGAAAAGTAAGAGGCTAAACTCATTTTATTTGCATCTAGAACGGCTTGTTTCTATGATTACTACATGTAGTGCTATGTACGTGGAGAACCCTGCTGGACGTTAATCATTGGTTCTAATGTCTAATTGCAATGAGAAAAGAATATTAACTACCAGTAATATGGAGGTTAGTGCTGTTCAAATGTCTGATTACAATGAAAAGAGCCTATCAACTGCTACACAGCTTAATACTGATTGAATGAAACATGTCTGGCACCAAACACTTCATCTTTATTGTAGTGATGCCGGTGAGAATTGCACTTTATTTATAGATGTATCTCTACTACTTACCTATAATAGCTGGTTTAACTGCTACCATTAAACTTAATACAGCAGGTATAAGGTAGATCGGCTGACAAATATAGAATTTAAATACTTTAATAATGATGATGATGATGGGAATGAGCTCTCCTTTCAATTGAACAAATATTAACTTTACAGAATGAAAATACAGGTAGACTAACATGGCTTATAAGAATCTGTATAATTATTTCAATAGACAAATGTGTAAATATCTTATATGGTGTAGGGGGAGGGGGCGGCAAGTACAATGTAGTTGTTTCAATGACACGGAAAGCTGATATCCTGTGTACACATTGGCATGCACGTAAAAGAACCTTTGCCTGTTGAAATTCAATATAAAAGTAGGCCATAGCGCAGCTGTCCAGGTAAAATATCCCTCATAGCACACAATATGCAGAGCAGTTAAGTAGGACGATAAACCCCATTTTATTTCATTTTTTAGTTTGACTTACCACCCATATGTACCAATCACTATCATTTACCTACAAAAAATAAAATTATCTGGTCAATTTATTTTCCTATTCATAAATGATTATCTATGTGCACCACTCAAGTAATACAATAAATAAAACTTAATTCTGTAGGTGTTTACTAAGCGATTTGAATGATAGAAGAATTTTATTACGCAAATTAAGAGCTTAGTAGGTAATAAGTTTGACAGAAGATTTTTAAGTGCTTAGGCCTAGTAGTAGGCTATTTGCTTAATAGAAGATTTTTATTAGGCAAATTAAGAGCTTAGTATGAGAAAAGTTTGACAGAAGATTTTTAAGTGCTTAGGTCTAGTAGTAGACTATTAAGGTGATTTGCTTGATAGAAGAATTTTAAGTGCTTAGTCTTCTGCTGTACCGGTATTTGCTTAGTGGAAGATTTTTATGTGCTTAGTAGGTGATTTACTTCATAGAAGAACATTTTTAAAAGCTTAGTAGGCTATTTGTTTGATAGAAGATTTTTATGTGCTTAGTAGGTGAGAGAGAGAGAGAGAAATGGGGTTTGACGTCCACTCGACACAAACTAGGTCATTTCGGGACTAACATATGGTTTAATTTTATTTCAATAATTCGCTTGTGCTTAGGGGTCTTTAGCAGTGGGAGGAAACCAAAGAGGTTGGACAGGTGACCCTACTCCTTGTCACGGACAACGGGGGATTCGAAACCAGCTTAGAAGGTGATTTGCTTGATAGAAAAAGATTTTTATGTGCATAGTCGGCTATTTGTTTAATAGCAGATTTTTATGTGCTTCGTAGGTGATTTGCTTAATAGGATTTTAAGTGCTTAGCTGGTTATTTGTTTTATAGAAGATTTCTAAGTGCTTAGTATACTGTTGGTATGATTGAAGATTGGTAGGTGTTTTCTAAGCTATTTTTTGACAGAAGATTATAAGATTTTTAAGTGTTTAGTACTTAGTAGGATTTGTATTTTAAGCCTTATTACGGTTTAGTTATTTGAACTAAAAGGCCTGGATGTACTTACATTTGCAACAGCTGCTAGAGCAAAAAACACTGTCATTAATATATTTACAATTCGCCATACAACCATCCTTTTAACTGTATTTTTATCTTTCACATCTGATAATGGATCATACAACAGCTGGTATTTGACTGGCATTGGTGTGATCTTTTACAATCCTGTCTTAGATAGTCGATTTCACAAGTAGTTTAGACAATTCAAACCCTTCTGAAAATTTACAATCATTTATGATATATCATATGGGAGCTAATATGATCAAATCAAAATACATCCTGTCAATATTAAATTAAATATCGATGAAAACCATTTGTTTGTCACTGTGCTTAAATGTGGTTATCTCCCTTGAACAGGCACATCAGCTTGTTAATTCAAGTGTAAACATTATTCTTGATAAAAGTTATTAAATATCTACCGAAGACTGCACACTACACTTACGACAAAAAGACTCTGTATTTTCACTGAAACATGCAGTTTATCCAAGTAATGTGTCAGTGCACAGTGCGACTGCCTAAAACGCAGTAAATTTCAATATCGTAGCACTTCATTGTCACTTTCGTTTTTATCGCAGACTTTACACATCACGTGATCGTATGTTCGATTACCCAGCAATTAGTTCAGCCGCAAAGATGTATTAAATAGAAAAATAAATATAAATTATGAATGTAAATTTTATTAATTTTACAAATTATCTGCTGACCATTGCATAAAGATTTCTTACAAAAAAAGAGGCTTTTTAATCCAAATTCTTCATTTAATAAGCATTCTTCAAATCTATAATAAACATGAGTTCATGTGGCCGGTCCCACGTACATCAGCAGTGAAACAGATTGGGCCGGTCCATGCCTACTGTGTGAACCATCGTAAATTTTAAACGGATTTCTTCGATTATGAACAAACTACTTAACTTTGGTTATTATAAACTTACCTGTGTGTTTGTAATGAACTCCCGTTCGATAAAATCCATTGCACAACTAATTATCACAACGATGAGAACAAGTTCTCTCTTGAAAAATTTGAAAATTTACTTGTAAAGTCGACAGAGTCGATGTCAACAATGTCTTCGTGACGTATTGGTCGATTCCAATATACCTGTTGCGGGGGTTGGTTAACATTGAAAGATAGAGTTTGACAGCGCGATCATTTTGATCGTATATGGGTTTGGGCGACGAAAAATATCAATTGAAGGCAATTACATAGGAGATTTATATGGAAACCATTGATCGCCAGTCTATCAAATTTTCTTCACAATTAAAATATCACTGATTGCACGGATACTCGTAAAAAAAAGTCATGTATAAACTATAAATATCCTATCTTCTTTATGTTGTCTTTGAAAGGCATTTAGTGAAAGTGATATATAATAACAGACAGCTTTATGGATGACATTCACTAGGTTTATTAACTGCAACGTTTCAATGAGGTTACTCTCACCGTTATCAAGCAATGATACCACTAATAAACCTAGTGAATGTCATCCATAAAGCTGTCTGTTATTATACTTCTTTATGTTATAAATAATTTAACAAGGATCATGAAGCTTACCTCCGAATTCTCTGAGTGTATTTTTAATTTTATACGCATTCTTTCGATCGAATAATAACCGCTTCAGTAACATAATGGTATATAATGCTACTAAGCCCGTATGACCCCGTAAGAAGCGGAACATTAATTCTCGATTCGACAGTTTTGACCGAAGTGTGATAAAGCCCGTAAAACGAATGTATAGTTGTGTTTGTGCGGCATGCGTTTTCAAAAGTAAATAATCCCATCCGAGTCGCTAATCAAATAATTAGAACAAAATATTTCAAAAAGTAAAGCTATAAAATTTGCAGATATTTTACTAGAATGTAAAAGACGGTAACTAAATACAGGAATGCGGGTAGTTATGTGTGCGAACGCTCAAACTCAATGCCAATTGTCGTAGGTATCCAGACTACTCGGACTAAAGACTACTCGGACTAAGACCAGTCGGACCAAAACAAGACCAGTCGGACCAATTAAATTATATTATAAGGCTAGACAATATGCTATTTATTTATTATTAAATCACAATACAAAGAAGCAAATAATTCTTATACGGAATTCTTATATTTAGAGTTGTTTAGTTCAATTTTGTGTACGGAAAATAAATCAACGATTAGTTTTAAAATTAATTAATAATGGTGCCAAAAAAAATATCAATCTAATTTTTCTTATTTACTCTTGCAATAAGACTCGGTATGTCCAGACTTTTGACAGTTTCTACATATACGGGTATACTGTTCTTGTCTGATAGCCTAATTTTACTTTTTCCACATTCGCGGTATCCCCAGTGGTTTCATTCCGTTCTACCCCACTAACCCCTGGGTTACTATATATGTGGGGGGGGGGGAGAGAGACACGTTTTCAAGTTATCCGCCCTTGATGCGTTAATATAAACAGCACATAATAATACGAAGACCGGACGTTTATATGTCCCTTTTTAAACGTGACTACAAGTGTGGTTCTCGATATTTTGCGATTTGGAATACAATTATCAATTTATTCAAACAACACGTTATTATTAGTTCGAAGAGTCATATTAAAACACACACAATTATCAATTTATTCAAATAACACTTTATTATTGGTTCGAGTAGTCATATTAAAATAAACACAATTATCAATTTATTAAAATAACACTTTATTATTGGTTCGAGTATTCATATTAAAGGCTCAATACCACTCCTGTTGTAACTGAATAATATGTCCCAATCTTTATTCTGGTCAACAAATTGTACTATTTTAGAATATTTCAATTAATTGATGATACAAATTTCATCTTAACACACCTTATTTAAAAATTTTGAAATATTCAACATAATGGTTTGAAACGTCTAACATAAACCTTTTCAAATGAAACTTCGATTTAAAAATATTTTCGAACCCTCTGGACAAGTAAAATAGGATGTAATGGATAATTTACACAACAGGTAGGACACTTAAACATCTAGTACTTAGATAGAGATATTATTTATTTTCTGGAGCTTTCAAGCCAGCAAGAGTTTTATTGTCCCTTTAAAACAAACGCAATTATCAATTTATTAAAACAACACTTTATTATTGGTCCGAGTCGTCTTTCTGTTGGGTCCGAATAGTCTTTTTGTATGGTCCGGGTAGTCTATTTGTTTGGGCTGAGTGGTCTATCAGTTGGTCCGACTGGTCTTGAACCGAGTGGTCTTTGGTCCCAGTGGTCATGGATTCTTGTCGTAATTGTACTTGAATTTCCTATGCTGTCACCCCTAATACGAAATGATATCTTCCGCAGAGTGACGTAACCATCTTCCACATTGGTATTTTTCTCTGGGAAAAGTTTGTGATATTTCAATTTTTCAAGAGAGAACTTGTTTTCATCGTTGTGATAATAAGTTGTGCAATGGATTTTATCGAACGGGAGTTCATTACAAACACACAGGTAAGTTTATAATAACCAAAGTTAAGTAGTTTGTTCATAATCGAAGAAATCCGTTTAAAATTTACCAAGACTCAGACAGTAAATCAGATACGCACAATCGATTTTTTCTCCTTTTCTTTGAAAATGCATTAAACGAGAAGTGCATCATAGGCCTAAAGATCATGAAAAACTAAACTTCATGATTTTATTAATTTATCGCACAATAATTTTATCTCGACGCCTGACTTCTGCGATCATTGATGAGTTTTATATTTATTTTATTCTGAGACAGTATAGACAGACCTAACATTTTATGCTATAAAATTTTATTTGTAGATTCCTCAAAATAATTTTCAGTATTTTCAAATAACGTGTTGTTTGAAGCTCTTTAATTCCGATTCCACTGCGGTCTGGCATACAAGTCTTGTATTATCATGAAATCGATAATTTCTCGAGCATGCGTTGTTGTGAGAATTCCAGCAGTGCCGGATATAGATTATATGAGGCTACTAGGTCGATGCTAAAATTGGAAAATGGTTTGAATTCAAGATGGATTCCTTTGCTCTGTCACTTTTCATCGCTATTTTAACATTTGGTTTATGTTGTTCTCAGTCTCCCATTAAAACTAGCGAATTACAATACTGTTCTTTCTTCGATAATCGAGCTCCAGAGGCCGAACCAAATCTGAAGAACTGTACCTGGTTCAAGGACAACAGTTGCTGTCGCCAAGCAGAGATTTCTGCTACTTTTGGCAGGGTAAAGCCGCTTCGTGGTGCTTCCCCGTCATGCCAACGATACACGAATTATTTGATGTGCTATATTTGTTCACCTTATCAGTATCTGTTCTATTTCCGAGAAAGGCTAACAGTCTGTGAAGAATTCTGCGACGCCTGGTACGATGCCTGTAAGAGCGCCATTTCCAAAGGATCCGTTATTGAAGAGTTATTTGTGGATGGAGAATCGTACTGTAAGAGCCAGAGGTTTAATGTTGATAAACACGTTAATGGACGGTGTTTTAATTTTGATGCCAAATTAGACACCAGTGGATCTCCTTCGCATCACATATGGCATCAAAACAATCATATTCTTATGGGAATACACCTTTATATTTTTATAATCTGGACCAAAAATGTGATATCTGTATGATTATTACATGTACTAACCAAACATCATTTGAATAGGCATCACGATAAACTAACACGGTTAACATCGAATCCAATCCAGACTCTGACATTAATAAAGTGAATATTGTAGTGTATTAAATGAAGAAAGACAATTAACTTATCGAATGATTGTTGTAAACCTACACAATTTAATATTCATCTTATACTCAGTTGCACAAACAGTTGTGTATGTTCTAATTGCGGTTAAAGCTCGACTGAAAGGGTATGTGTTGTACATAGAGTGAATTAACAGATTCGTTTCTTTGATATATATATGCACAAATTAGCCATTTTATTCAATCTCTCGTTCTCCCCCCCCACTCTCTCTCTCTCTCTCTATAATATATATGGGTCGAAAGATCAAAACAGGCACAGGTTTTTTATTTTAAGAATCACAAAATTAGTTGAATCTATTAGAACACTGGGAAATATCAAATGTAACATTATTTTCAGCTTTCCACAGTAAACACTATGTGTTATTCAAACGTGTATATATCATTATTGTACATAATCACGTAAATTTAGATATATAATAGTATGGTAATTGTCATCAATTGTACATAGAAAACCCTGTTTTTCTTTTATAAGATTTCTGTAATCGCACAAGTCAGGACAATAATAATTGTTAGTTGAATAAATAAATAATTAAATAAAGTCATATGTTCTATTTATTTATGTATGTGTTTCTCGATGCAGATTATGTCATCTTGTAACTGTGTTCATTGATTTGACTAAAAGCCCCCTATCCAGTCATTATAAGACATTGTAATCACCTCCGGACATACGTTGGTCAAGGGAGCCGAGAAAGTACATCTTGTCAGTGAATTCCCATTGTCAGTGGCGCAGGCCCCGTGTACACATTGACGTGGGCTAAATCTATTTGTTGAGTCCAGCTTAATTTTCGTCAAGGTCGCTGTGATGTAAATAAGGTTAGGGCACGTGGTTGTTGGTGTGATGGGGGGTTGGATGGCTGAATGGTTAGCGTGTGCACGTTGTATCATAAAGTCTGTCATTGAGTCAACTGGTGTGGTTTCGAATCCCCGGTTGTACGTGGCAATGAGTAGGGTCGCCTGTCCAACCTCGTGGGTTTTCTCAGGGTCCTCCGGTTTCCTCACACTGCTAAAGACCCCTACGCGCAAGCGAATTATTGAAATAAAATGTTAGTCCCGAAATGACCTAGTTTGTGTCGAGTGGACGTTAAACTCCATTTCTCTCTCTCTCTGTTGGTGTGATTGTAGGTTAGGGTAAGCATTGGGGCTAGGCCCAGGGTTAGCGCTATATCCTTGTTTACATCTCAAATACCACCCGATTAGATTTTATTACATACTTCGAGAAGGTATTTGTTGAGTAATAAAACCTTCTAGTAGTTTATCGGTGTCTCTGAAGTTCAGAAAGGTGCGTAAAGCAACTCTTGGCGGTAGGAATTTGAAGGAAGAGTAGGCCGTATACCGCTGCTGTCTCGGCAAGATTTCCCACATAGCACACTGCATTGCATATTCCCGTTTCATTAGCTCAATCGGTGCAGAAAAGTAGGATGCAAAACCCCATTTCATTTAATTTTGTAAACACCATAGTTTCGTCTTTTTTTTTTTGAAAATTCTAATGAATTGTGTTGTTATGTATGTAACCTTATTCGTTGAGTTATCGCCCTTGGCTTAGTCAAAATACGGCAAGAACGATAACATGCCCGGTGATTGATTTTACAACGAAAAGCTAACCAACACCCCAAACTAGTCCTTATTTGCCATTTCCATTGCCCTAAACCATCTTGTCTGTCGCGGAGTCTTATTAACTACAATATACAATACGAAATACAGAATACTTTCGGGCGCCATCTGTAATGAAGCGACTTTGTGGAGGCTAAACATATCCCACGAGAGAATACTACCGGTGTAGACTGGAATAATAATATTGGACGCCAAAGACTGTCATTCAATTTGAACTCTTCGCGTATTTCGCCGAACATACCTGATTAGAAATTACTGTAAAAAAAACCCCCAAAACAACCCAGAAACGACTAATGTAAATCAGCTTATATACATTCATATTACACTATTATATGTGTTGCGACCCATTTGTGTCCATTTATATTGCCAAAAAAATAGAGACTTGGCTCCTTTAAAGGGTCCCATAATTCAGCACAATTACCGGTAAGCATTGATGGGTTTCCCGGTAGGCAGGGCAGGGTGATTCTTGTTCCATTTAATAAGCCCAAATATATCGAAGATTATAACTAATGTTCGATATATCGGAGGAAAAAAACTGAAAAATTTGCAACTGAAGAACAAACACGTCGAAAGTCGATCGGTTTCCGATATTGTCAAAGAACATAATACATGCACATCCTTAAACAAGATGGTTGAACTTTTGAAATTTTTGTTATAATCTGGTGTGAATAGACTAGATTATATCAGATATGTCCCTACCCGAATTCGCTTTTACATACATTAATAGTCCAAATCTTCTATGTATATACTGGTGTGTATTTGGTTTTACCTACTGACCTACACTTACTTGTGTATATCAACCTGGTGTGTATTTCGTTTTACCTACTTACCTACTGGTGTATATCAATAGGTATGTATTTAATAATACCCACTGATCATATTTACTGGGATATATTTACTGGTGTGTATTTAATAATACCTGCTCACCTAAATTTACTTTTGAATATCTTTGGTTTGAACTACTATTTACTGGTGTATATTATAACTAGTGTATATTTGGTTTTACATGCTGACCTATGTTTACTGAAATGAAATGAAATGGGGTTTAACATCCTACTGTTCTGCTCCTAAACTGGGCTAATGAAGACGGACATACGCCATACAGTGTGCTATGAGGGAAATTTTGCCCGGGCAGCGGCACTATCGCCCACTCTTATATCGATTTCCAACTGCCAAGGGATCTTTTACGTGCATTCCAATGTATACGCGGGACCTCGGTTTTTCGTCTCATCCGAAGGACTAGACATCTGTCCTTGTCAGGCCCTCCGTCCTGCATCACTGACAAGGGGGAACCATGCCGGAAAATCTGGATGAACTTTCTCGGCCAATGCAGGGATTGAACACCCAACCTCCAGGCTAGCCCTATATTTACTAATGTATATTTGAATTAAACTCCTGACCCATCTGGTGTGTATTAACTGGTGTGTATTTAATAATACCTGCTGGCCTATATCAACTGGTGTATATTAACGGGTGTGTATTTTGATAATACCTGTTGATTCATATCTTAACTGGTGTATAACTGGTGTGTATACCTGCTGACTTATATTTACTGTTGTATATTGACTAGCGTGTATTGAATAAAATTTGAAGTAGATTTAATTTAAGGTTAAGGTTTTTTCCAGAAAAGATTCAAGTTATTTAAAGTTTTTAAAAATGATGGCAACGAAATGAAATCCAGAGTAGTGTCCTTTAAAGCGTACACTGCTTTTAATATTTGGCCTGATCAGAGTAGTAATTAAGTTTATCGTTAAGTTCATAATTAGATCAAATAAGTAATAAGAACGTTGTTTTATCAGAATTTTATAGATAAAAATACATTGATTAGAGATATGTCGATTTACGATTGTAAGGATGTTTGATTTGTCTCGACGACTGCAATATGGGTTCAACCGCGAGTATATTCCATCATGTTATATTTTGTTGTATCGTGAATACAGCGATTATTGGGCTGGACGATCTAACAGATAGACTTCTGTAGCCAGTCTTCGTGTCACGGGACAATGGAATCCCCATACGTCATATCCGTGGTATAAAGACTCTCCCAATTATTGACAGCTCAAAACAGAAAAAGGCGAATGTTATCAATGGGATCATGAAATGTCGGTATTTCGTAGTGCCATGAAGCGCAACATAGATAAAATCAAATGCCATCCATGATGTGATCTATATAGTTTACTGTAAGTATAGACTGAGTTATTTTGATGGAACCCCCTACTCATAAAACGTAAACACAATTGCGTACGATATAAGATAAATAAGGAAGAAATTGTCATGTGTAATTGAAACAGCAACGATTTGTTGTTTCTTAGAAATAGTAGTTTGAAAAACGAGAAAAGATGGGCAGGTGCAATTACATCGAGTCTTCTGTTAAAAGGCATAATATTAGGATTTGTACAGATTGACCTGAATTTTCTTCTATCTAAAAATGCATGAACTAATGCCTGCAGAAGGCGTTTTTATCAACCACTGATTAGCCAAAGTGATTTGCATTCAATCAAATTTTCATCTTTAACGTCCATTTAATTCAAATTGGTTACCCTAATCAATGAATTTATCGACACCGATTTCCGAAGCGATTACATCAAATCGCCAAATCACTTCAGGGTGCGATTTGATCGGGTGATCACATGTTTTTTTCAACTGTGTCCAGCCACCACAATTGTTTACAGCTAATCGGAGCATTTAACGAACTCGCCAAATATCCACTAAATTCAAATCGATTTGGCAAGTCGATAAAAAAGCCTTAAGTCTAGTGGATATTTACAGCAGGGTGACCCACCATAAATAAATATCTCCAAATATCTCGTCAATTACACAAAAATATTTAAATATATATACCAAGCCTTAAATCAATTTCACACATTTATAGTCACTAAATAAACGGTCATATGTTGTACTTAATAAGCTATGACCATTTAACCATCTATAAATAATACACTGAAAAATAGTTACGAGTTTCGACCATAACATCCGGGCACTTGTGAGTAAAAAATAGGTTACTTGCCCGTGTTTTGAAATTAGTCCCGCTTAACCAGTCTACCGACCATACTACATCTGATTGACAGACTGGAATAATCAAGACTACTTTTTTACGAAACATAACAGAAAGCTGGAACAAGTAATTGAATTTAGAAACGAGCAATTGTTTTAAGAACCTTGTAAAAGTAAAATGAAACTACTGCTAGTATCATGTTCTTGCTTAACGAAAGTATTTCAGAGATATTATTTGTACTAAACCAAAAGATGCCGCTCCTAACGGTACAGTTAAAAAGCAATTTAAAAAATAAAACAAATGTGATTACTAAAGCTGGTGTATTAACCAAAAAGCTAAATTTTACTGCAATTCAGAATCGTCAACAATAGATTTTTTACTGCTGTAATAGTTGATAGATATATAGAGAATTGCACGTGGGATAGCTATTTATAGTCTCATAGACTCTAGTGCTGAGTATTATCATACTGCGGGGTTAGCCAGAAATCACTTCTCGAGACAAGCCGCTGAAGCGTGCACATTCGCTATGTCGAGTCCAACTTTCAATGCACGGGTCACCCTATTTACAGAGCAGGGTTATATGATATTTACTGGTATTTTTTGTACCGTAAAACAGGTCTCAAAAAAATTATTTGTGTATCTGAATGTTCGGAATCATAGTGTTTATACTTTAAGATATAAAAATTCAAGATGAGATTTTTGGAAGAATTTTGACAGTCTAGAGCTTAGCTTTTAATTCCCAATATTTGTTAACAGAAAGTAGACTATATATCTATGATAAAAACAATCAGGATACAGACTCATTACCATTTGCTGGATTGCCCTGTTCTATACACAGTAGACAAACCTGGTTTTGCAACCAGAGGGAGCTAAGACAATGCAAAGGGTGCAATGAAATGAAATGAAATGGGGTTTAACGTCCTACTGTTTTGCTCCAAACTGGGATAATGAAGACAGGCATATGCCATACAGTGTACTATGAGGGAAATTTTGCCCGGACAGCGGAAGGGTGCAATGAAGATGAGGAATGACTGTTTTGCCAAGCATGATGAAAGTGCAAAATGTTTGGTAAAATTACTAATTCTTTCTTCAGAAATGTAATAAAAAAGAAAATGCTTCTCGATCAAGCTGGGACAAGTCAGTATAATGCAACCCAGTCATGATTCGTGATAAGCCTATAACAGAATAAACAGAATATCTAAGAAAAGCTTGTGTTAATGTTTCACCCAGACGCAAAGATATATATAAAGATGCCTGCAAATGTATAATTTGTTATAAAACTTTTTGATTGTGAAAATGCAGGAAAGGATGAACATTTCCCAATTTCTAAAAACATAATGGATTGTTATCATCTATAAAACACTCTTTCCCTAATAAAGTGATATAACCCTCCCCCCACCCGCTTTGTCAACGAAACCATATCCAAATTATGATGTAAAATGAAATTCTTCATCAATACTGTATATTGGATGGAAACTTCAAAAGAAGTATCAATTATTATGCAGTGTAATTCTGTTGCCTCTTTTTGTTCTCAGACAAAAAGGACACCCTTTCAAATAAGCTATTAAAATTTATTCCAGTTTGATGGAGAAGTATAAATGCTGTCTAAATAGCATTTATTCTCTGTTTGTGTAATACAAGGGGTTATTGTATCACCAAGAATCTTACGATTGAAGTCTGGTTGCCAAACAGCATTTTTGGATTGTTTAACAGATAAATTTTTTATGATCTAATAATACATATATATCTGTTAGTCTACTTAGAAAATCAGAGGTATTTTTGTAGGGGTGGTCTAAAACATGTGATTTCAATGTTAAACCTCTCTCTCTCTCTCTCTCTCTCTCTCTCTCTCTCTCTCTTACAGGATGGGGGTTGGGGGGTCTAGTGGTTTAATGCATGTGAATGAAATCACAAGGTCTGTCATTGAGTCTCGGCACAGTTTCAATTCTGTCCAATCCCATGGATTTTCTCCAGGTCCTCTAGTTTCCTCCCACTGCTAAAGACCCCTACGCGCAAGCGAGTTATCGAAATAAAATTGAACCATATGTTAGTCCCTAAATGACTTAGTTTGTATTGAGTAGATGTTAAACCCTGTCTCTCTCCCTCTCTGTTATACGATTATATTCAAAGAATATTATTTTCAGATTACGAGAGTGAACCATTATATTGAACATTATGGATGAAGCTGGTAATAAAGATGGTTGGCCAGGGCAAATGCTTCACCAGGCAGCCTTATATAACAATAAAGAATTAATGATCTGTCTGTTAGAAGGAGAAGAAAAAGTGAATATGAACTGTCGTGATGTGATGGGACGGACTTGTGTTTATACGGCTGTATCTAACAACAGTGATGAATGTCTCAAAGTTTTGTTACAGGCTGGAGGTAAAAATTAGTATTCAACTATTTTTAGCCATCTGGTTATCAACATAAGCTAAAATGCCTAGCAAATTTTGGTAAAAATTGGTATGATTGTTGGTTAGGTCCTTGGATTCTTGTCTGCGATATCACCTTGGTGGAAGTGGACGTAAAATACAACTAACTAACAACAGGTTAGGTCCCAGTTAACAATTACCATTAGTTTTATGTTAACTATCAACAGTGATGAATGTCTCGAAGCTTTATTCCAAACCGGAGGCAAAAATTTGTATTAAACTATTTTTAGCCCAACACAAGTTAAAACGCGTGAAAATTTTTACTAAAAATTGGTATGATTGTTTGGTTGCGGCTTTAATTTCAAGTTTGTTATTTATTCTTATTTTTCAGCCGATCCTAATATTACGGCAGGCAAAAGATGCAATGGCATGGTATGTTAATAATTTTAGCATGTAAAATAAAATTATATCTTTTCATATTAAAATTTTCATTCAATAATACAAACATGTAGATAAATTCTTTTAATTTTTGTTATATATTAAAGTAATTTACGGTAGACTTAAATTTTATTTATTGATATAAATGAAATGGGGTTTAACGTCCTACTGTTCTGCTATGACTGGGATAATGAAGATTGGCTTATGCCATACAGTGGGCTATGAGGAAAATTTTCCCCGGACAGAGGCGCTACGGCCTACTCTTATATGAATTACAACTGCCAAGGGATCTTTAAGTGCATGCCAATGTGCACACGGGACCTCATTTTTTTGTCCCATCCAAATGACTAGACAGCTGTCCTTGTTAGGCCCTCCGTCCTGCACCACTGACAAGGGGAAACCACGCCGGAGTAAACATATTAAAGCTGCTGAAACACCTTGCAAACTATAGTGAAAGTTGAATATATCAGTCAAAAAACGGGTTCAATTCCGTTCAGTATTTACAAAGATAAGATGAATTGAAAATTTTACAAATCCGACATCCTCGACGATATAAGCAAAGCAGCACCACCTATAAGTCTTGTGTAAAATCTTTTGATAGGCTATTTTTGATCCGATATTTTGTTTTTTGTTTTTTAATTAAATGTTAATTAATCAATTTGAGTACATTTGAGTACAAGCTCATTCAAATAGATAAATAAAATATATCGCACACGTAAACTTCTCTCAATACATTCTTTAATAAACAAATGACAACAAACTATTTAAAACAGAAAAATAACCAAATATTAACAAACTCAAACAGACAAATAACAAAATGACAACAAACTCATTAAAACAAAAAAATAAAGTATATCCAGGACATAATTAAACTTCCTTCAATACATTCTTTAATAAAAAAAATTGACCACAAACTCATTCAAACAGATAAATACAAATGTAATTTTTGGTTTGAGGAACTATTTTGTTACATGCAACTTTAAGTGATTGTGAGTTCTTCAGTTTAGAAAATACTCCTCCAAGTGACAAGTTCAATGCGGAACATTGGTATGAAACTTTACATTTCTTGTTATATCATTAAAAAGATATTTTTAGCCTATTTTAAACATACCTTATGCAAGAGTTAAATCTGCCTATTGCAGGTCTTTCTTTAGGCCTGAAATGTTATCTAAATTAATAATTAGACCATAATCAACTCTCGATGCCATCATTAGCCTGTGATGTTTACTGGATTTGAATACATTTTGTGATGGATGATTTAACATCCGATGAACGAGGCTAGGCCTAAAATTCAATCACTAATATCTCGGTTCAGAGTGAAGCAATTTGAGTGAAATTTTCAGCATATTCTCTTTACCTTATCTTTTTTTTAAACTATTATAGTGAGAACTGTCAGCTCTTTATCTAATCTCCCATAATTCCCCTTTAATCTGTGCACAATTAGATATTGTGAGAAACATGGAAATGACGATCAACAGATTTAATATACAGTCTACTATAGGAATGTAATGTATGTAAAGGACCGTGTCTTTTTATAAGATATAGATATCTTTAGTTTACTCATTCATACATATTCTATGGAATACAATTACTGATTATTAATAGTATTCTCTAGTCTTTATCAAGCAGTCTAAACATTGCTCAGTAATACACAGTAATTATATTCCATAGAATCATTTCACGTGATTTCAAGTTCAGTTACTAAATACAAATGAAACAATTAAGTGTACTTTAGATAGGAAAAAAGTAGAGTTTTGTCGAATATCTTAACATGTAAGCAAGAGAAGAGCTACCATGGAAATTTGACATAGTTGGAAATCACATTATATTTGACCATATGTACTCTTCAAAAAAAGTAGGGGATATTCGGAAACAATACAAAACTGCGGAAATGCACTGCTGTTTTTATTAGAGGTAACCAGTGTATGTTAATAACAAGCCAATTGCCTACACATGGACATAAACATTTCATATGGGCGACTTATCTCGCAAAGAGATACACCATCAAAAGTGAAAATGGACGTATTTTTGTCTTAATAATGAGTAATTGCTCCACCAATCCACAGACATTCAACATTTCGTCGTGACAAGCTTCTAATCAACCGTCCAATCATGATTTGGGGCAATCTGGCCCACTCCTCTTGCAGTGCCACGGCCCATTCTTGCAGTGTTGACGTTGATGTTGACGTCGACGAACACGTCTCCCGATCAAATTAAACGTAACACACTAAAGTAAAGATACGCTAAACAATAAATCTTATGCAAGAACCGATTGGAATGCTGACATGGATAGATAAACCAGCACGCGGCAGTTTTCATCAACCCTTCCTTGAAGTGTCAAATTTGATAATGAACCCCTCCCACGTGTATGGCGCTATTGTGAATCGCATGTGCAGCTCAGTGGTTCTGTTAGGGCGATAAGTTCTTCATCTGTGAACATACTCTCAAAGCATGTCAAGTGTCCATGACTATTTATCATATTACAACCTGCATAGATATTTGCATTTCAATATCCCCTACTTTTTTTTAAGAGTATATATCATCTTTATTTTCAGACTCCACTTCACTGTGCTGTTTGTGATAATAAGATCTGTGCTATTAAATTATTACTCTCCTATAAAGCTGACTTATATATTAGTGATGATACAGGCTCTACTCCTTTATCTTTGGCTAAAGTAGTAGGCAGCAGGGAAGCATGTTCCTTGTTAGAAGATGAAATGGGTAAGTTGGTAAAATAGTTAAATTAAATAAGGATACGATAACTCTGCTCATAATTGAACTGGAATTGTCAAACTTGGTGTTGATGTTCCTTGGGGGAGGAAGCTGAAGTGGCTCAGTGAGTAAGATGCATGACAGAGGGCCTGGCAAGGGACAATGTATAGTTATTCAGGTGGAACGGAAAACCGAGGCCCCGTTTACACATTGGGGTGCACGTAAAAGAACCCTTGGCAGTTAGAATATTCAAGTAAAAATTTCCCTCATAGCACACTGTATGCCCATCTTCATTAGTTCAGTCTGAGAAGAACAGTAGTTTCTTGTCTGAGTTTGATGACCTATATATTCTGCTTAGGCTAAGCAACTTTCCATCACACACTTTGGGACACAGTAACTCTGCTTATATGGTGAATGTCTTAACCCTTTGAACCCTGTCATATATACCATAAATGAAAATCCCCCTGGCCCGTGGGGCAAAATTTGACATTTTCAGAGACAAAATATAAAATTGCCAATCACCCAAAGTGCCAACAAAGGTGATATTCTTCAAGTATGAATTTGACATTTGACATTTTCAGAGACAAAATATAAAATTGCCAATCACCCAAAGTGCCAACAAAGATGATATTCTGCAAGTATGGATCGTGTGCTACCTGGAAAAATAGTTCTGAAATATGCATATACATGTAATATGATTTTTAAGGCAATATTTGTCATAATAGTTCCACAGTTAACAAAAAAAGTGATTATTTTCGCTACTTTCATGATTGTTTCTCTAATCAACATTACTCAAGCCATCGTCATCACTCTCAGTATTTTAACCAGTGCCTGGTAATACGTCTGTTTGCAATTCATCAGGCTAAAACAATATTTTCAGGAATATTTGTGTCTTGGAGTGAAGAGGGGAAAGCCCTCATTGCAGAATATGCAATGTAACACATGTTCTGATTGGTCAAACCAGTATATCACGAAGGGAAATTGGGAAACTATACATGTGTTCAGAGTGGAATTCCTAGTGTGTCATGCTTAGGATATAAATGTCATTATCTTGGCTGGAAAACCGGCCAGTCGGGTACAAAGAGTTAACTTGTAGCACATAACACTCCTTCTCAATTAGAAGTTCTAATTAAGGTAGATGTTCATTAGGTGAATGTCTTGAATGAATTTGGTGATAGGCCTTTTGGCTAAGCAGCAGTTTGTCACATCTTCTGGAACACAACAACTCTTCTTCTAAATTGAGGTAAAATGTTCTACTCATGTTAAGCAGAGTGATAAACAATTTGATTGCGAGATGTTTTATGAAAAGATAAATGTGCAAATAATTAAAGATGTATTATGTAAGAGCTAACTCTGCCCTATTGCAGGTTTTTATTTTGGCCTCAAACTCAAATGTTGTATAAATTGTTAATTAGACATAATCAACTCTCTAGACCATCAGATGGTCGCAATTTTCAATGGATTGCAATACAATCATCATTTAATAATTTAAAGATGGATAATCAAGACTTTGTTTATTATCGTAACAGTGGTACTTGACTATCAAGACTATTGTGAACACTTCAAAGGCTGATAACTGGAATTTTCAATATATTCATATTTCATTATCTATTTTTGAACTATTATCGCAAGAACGGCTAGCTCTTTATCTAAATCTTACATAATGCATCTTTAATGAGTGTCATCTAATTATTTTTGTAATTGAGGAAGTTGACATCAGTATCATTGTTGTCTCATGTTTTTTTTTACAGAAAAGAGACGTCTTGAGTTGTTAGAAATAACAGAGAGTGAGTATGATTTTAATCGAAGGTGAAATGTAAATGCAATAACCATTTTGATATTTACCTAGATTTTTAAATATATATTTCAATTTTCATTTTTTCGCAAAATATAACTAGGTCATCGTAAAAGTTTATTAAATGGAAAATTATCTGTGAAATTGTAATGACAATATCAGTGAGCTTTACCTTTCAGTTCAACAGAAACTAGGTCATTTTGGATTGACATGACATTTTTGAAAATGGCTTTTGAGCAGTAAGGTTAGGCCGGCATCCTCACTTCTTGTCATATACAAATATGAGGTTGAATTCACAGCTTGCCTAGATGACAAACTTAGGGATCTACATTGTAGACTCTGTAAGCCAGGCCCCCCAATGTAAAAACTTGAAATGGAAAGTTTAATTTACAATGAAATTGTATTATTTTAAGGTTTAAACGAAGCTATAATGTTACAAGATGTTGCAAGAGTAAAGGACATATTAAGACTAGCAGGTCCCCAAAGTAAAAAAGTTCTTAAATTTATCCCTGAAAATAATACGCCACTTCTCTGTAGGTTAGTATTATACTAAACAAGCTTTTATGATTATTATATGAGCCCATTTTTGTATGCCAATTTTAGATGTGGATGTATGTTGTCATCAGCTACATCTGCCATCAGTCTAAATTTTCTGACAAAAATACTTCACACTACAGTTCATGTTGGGTTTTTATACAACCCCATTGAATTGTGGTATATTGTTGTCTCCATTTGTCTGTCAATCCGTCATCCACCTTTGCTTGTGGACATATTCAAACGACTAAAATTATCATTTGATTGACTTCAAATTTACACAAAGTTCATATGGCGAAAATCAAAAATTTTGGATTGCAAATTTCAGAGTTATCTCCCCATTTACCTTTTACCTTTGGACATATGAAATCTTGTGAACAAGATACAAGACAGAGTTCTCGACAAGAAACTTGGTGTGATTAGTCATTGGGAAATGAGAAAGAAGACTATTAAAGTTCAAATTTTTTTAGCTTAGAATTTGAATGAATTATCTTTCCGTTTGTAACCTGGTGGTCCTGTGTTCGATCCCGGTGTTGCCAAGAAAGTTCATCTGGATTTTCTGGTGTGGTTTCCCCTTGTCAGTTGTGGAGGACAGAGGGAAGGCAAGGGACAATGTATAGTCATTTGGATGGGACAAAAACAAGGTCCCATGTACAGATAGATTGAAGACAGTTGGAATATTTATTGTACTAAATTTAGATCAAATGACTAATGGGCTTTCTTTCCCTTTTTGAAAAATAAACTGGAAGATTGGTAGGCCTATATCTTAACTTGTGTATACTATAACTGATGTATTTTACAGCACAGTGCTAGTAGTAAACTGTTAGAAATATTAATTGTTGTATATTTATTTTACAGTGCTGCTATAGTAGGAAACTGTGAACTATTGGAAATGTTAATTGAAGTTGGAGCAGCACCGGTAGCTCATCCTGTCTTGGCTATGTCACCATTACATTATGCATGTGAAGGGGGACATAACTCTGCACTAGTATTATTACTTAAGGTGAGAAATAGAGATTATGATTGTAATAATGTATAAAATACATTCCTCCCATAATGTGATAATGTGATAAACTCTAGTACACTTACTGTTTTTGTAAACATGCTATACTTTGACGATGGTACTCTAGTATTTATGAAGCATAGGCTCAGTTATCAAGTATACAACGCTGATAAATGTTTTTAACCATCATAAATGATACTGGGTAATCATACATGCCTATAAACAACATGATGAAATAAATGTAGTGCCTGATAAGTCATTTAGCCTAGTAGTGAAGCTTTGGCAAAATAAAAACACAAAAAAAACCTACCTTTCACATCAGATTTTTAGGAAGGATTGTCTAAGAACCTGAATATTTTCTTTTCTGTGGCCTGATGTATGAAAGGGCACAAGGTAAAGTTTTTCTTATGTTTTGAATGCATGTGTTTAAATCTTCACATTTTAATTTCATAATACAATTTTATGAAATGAACTTTATTTCAGAGGTTTCCAGAATTTTGTAATAGTCTTACATCACTGCATGAACTACCTATTCATATAGCCGCAGCCCATGGAAATTCAGAAGTTGTTCGTGCATTATTACATTTTTCCTATCCAAACACCTTGCTTCATATATATGAAATAGGACAGATTAAATATAAAGCTCCATTTGATATGAATGCCGTTGAGTCAAATGGCTATACACCGTTGCATATAGCGTGTGAAAGGGGACATGCAGGAATTGTTAAAGATTTATTACAATATACTGTTACTGCAGAGGCAGGCAATATTCATGATGCTATGACCAGCAGTTTCTTGTCCGAGTTTCAGTCCCTTGGAGATCTAGAAACTTTAACTCCTCAGATACAGCCGATAAATATCAACTGTTTAACTAGCACTGGGTTAACTCCTCTTCATATAGCTGTTAAAAATAGACATCACGAGGTAGCAGAAGTGCTTTTATTAGCAGAAGCAGACGTGAACATAATGTTAAGGAAGCAGTCCCCATCTATGTCTTTAGCTATGTATGCCTTGAGAGAAAGTGACTATGAAATGTTGAGAATTCTTTTGACTTACGGCCTGGAAGATGTCGACAACAAGGCCATGTCGTACGCTATATACCATAACAAGACAGACAAGCTTCTTTTACTTCTGCAATTCAGATCTTCAAAATGTCATCACCACTCAATCAATCGTAGCGAATTACGTAGGGTATACTCACAAATACACGCGAGCGAGAAAGTCAAATCTAGAGCGGACGAATCAAAAGAAAAACAAACCACAACAGCTGTTTCATTAAATTGGCAGGGTCTTAAAGTACTGAGTTACATTTCTGAAGATTGTATTATCGGCGCTTGCCTACTTTATAACCCGTTTATGTCAAATCAAGATAGGGACGTTATTTTCACGGCCATAACACGGGTGGACATTTCAGAAAATTCGTTCGATAAAGTGCCCCTGATTTTGTTTGAACTTCCATCACTGTGTGTCATAAACATGAGCTACAATGAAATTGACAGCTTTCCAAGCGAAGAAGATTTCTCTGAAAATGTGAAAAGTTTCGCGCTGGAAGAAATTAATTTACATCATAACCAATTAAAGCAAGTGCCAAGTTATCTGTTTAAATTACCTCATCTTTCGTTCGTAAATTTGTCACAAAATAAATTAACAGAGCTGCCATTAGAGATTTGGACAGCACCCGCCTTAGTTCACTTGAACGCAGCTAGCAATAAACTTAAAACTCTTCCCTACATGCAATGGGATGAAGTTTTCACGAAGCAATCAAATAGTACACCAAGAGGAAGTCTTTCATCGAGTCTAAGATTTGATATTTCTTATTCTGGAAGTAGTGCCGAACCAGAGTGGTTAGCATTTGAACGCAGGTCAGAAATCAGTCAGTCTGATTCTATGGCCCCTCAAGATGTAATGGAAAATGAAGTAATGCATATTAACCAATGGAGCACCAAGGTCACAGTCATAGATCAAGATTCAAAGTCTAATCACAACAATAAGGGCATCCGGAAATTGGAACTCCATAAGAATTTGTTCAAGGAGATACCAGTATGCCTAGCTTGTTGTGCTCCAAACTTAGAATATCTTGATATTTCCATGAATCCACTTCTTTCTGTTGGAACTTTATCGGATCTTCCTGTAAATCTACAAGAACTCAATCTTAGTTGGACTGGAATTTCTGATCTATCGCCATGGATACAGACCTTGTCAAATAACAGTGAAGATCAAGCATGTTATGGTAGTAATTGTAAACCGTAAGTAGACTTAGTCATATTTAGTTGTTTTTTTAATAAGCCCACATTTCTTTAGGCTAATGTAGGGAGGGTTGGGTGGCTGATTAGATCAGAAGGTCTGTCATTGAGTCAATTGGTGTGGTTTCGATTCCCCAATTTGCATGTGACAAGGAGTAGGGTTGCCTGTCCAACCCCGTGGATTTTCCTTTGATTCTCCCCTTTCCTCCCACTGCTAAAGACCCCTACACACAAGCAAATTATTGAAATAAAATTGAACCATATGTTAGTCCCAAAATGACCTGATTTGTATCAAGTGGATGTTAAACCCCATTTCTCTCTCTCTCTTTATGCAGTTGTTTTACATTCTATTGCTTGTATTGGACAAGAGAATATGTCTGCCATTGCAAACTTTATTGTCTGATAAAGTGATAGCTTTTAATTCTCTATTTCAGGATCAACAATACAAGTTCACGTATGACACCAACATTTCACAAATCTTCTCCATCTATTGGTTCTCGTGATTCATTCAGTACTCATTCTATATTACAAGCAGCATACTGTCCCCATCGTCTGCACTCACAGTTAAATAATCTGGAAAAACTCAATCTTTCGGTTAATAAACTCAAAAATATTGAATTGATGAAACCAGCAAAAAAAGATATGGCAGGCTCAGAAAACAGTAGTGTAAGTTGGGAATATTTATAATTTTATGTTAGGTACAAGTATATTGCTTTGTTAAACACTTTAATATGACTTCAAATTTATATATGGAATACCAAAATACCATATACAATGTAGTTGTATTACATATTTTGTCACAATTGTCAATCTGTAGCTTGCTTTATATTGGAGACTACTAATCAGTGTTTAATAAAATCAGATCACCAAGGTTTGTTTAATAAAATCACATCATGACAGTGGTTTGTTTAATAAAATCACATTACAGTGGTTTGTTTAATAAAATCACATCACATTGGTTTGTTTAATAAAATCACATACATGACATCTGCATCTATTGTTGGTATGTCTTTGAGATAGTGACCTTGAACAACCAAAAACTGCAACACTTAAAGCTTGGTATGGACAAGACTTAACGATTATTAATGATTTACTGAGTGATCCGCCCTCTCTTATCACGACAGCAAATTTGAACACCATGTTATTTTTTTTTAAAAGTGTTTTGTTTTTACATACAAGAACTTTTTTTTTATGTTTTTTATTACTCCTTCATATGTAAATAATTTTATTTAAATCAATCTGTCAATAATATCATGCATTATGTATTAGATGTGAAATTTGTTATAAACAAGAACAACGAGACTATATCTTTACTTTGACAATTAGCAAACACAGATAACTGGTTGATTGGGCATTTCAATTCACATTTATAGTATTGATGAGCAGTAACAAATGCATCATAAATCTATCTGTCTATTGTAATAAAATAGATTGTCACTATCAGACAATGAGGGATTGGAGTTATTCTTCATTGGGTCTGGAATCGTAAGATATTCAAGGGAGATTACCTTTTGCACATCGTTATCTATTAGATTGTGATGACCAGACAATGATGGATGGGAGTTATTTATCGTCAGGTTTCTTCATTGGGTCTGGAATTGTAAGATATTCAAGGGAGATTTCTTTTTCCACATCGTTATCTAATAGATTGTGATGATCAAACAATGACAGATGGGAGTTATTTATTGTCAGGTGTCTTCATTGGGTCTGGAATTGTAAGATATTCAAGGGAGATTTCTTTTTCCACATCGTTATCTAATAGATTGTGACGATCAAACAATGACAGATGGGAGTTATTTATTGTCAGGTGTCTTCATTGGGTCTGGAAATGTAAGATATTCAAGGGAGATTTGTTTTTCCACATCGTAATCTATTATATTGTGACCATCAGACAGTGACAGATGGGAATTATCTATTTTCAGGTTTCTTCATTGGGCCTTGAATCAGAGGATATTCAAGGGAGATTACTGTTTCCACATCTTAATGAATTAGATCTTTCATCTAATCAGTTAAAGAGTCTACCAGCTGAGATAGGAGATCTGGTTGAGCTGAAAGTCTTGAACCTCAGTAAAAATACTCAACTAAAAGAAGTAACTATAAAATTTACTCCAATTTATAAATGGCATAGGATTGTAACAGATATGGATGTAGGAATGAATTGCTCATGAGCAGTTGTGCCTTTTGTTTGGTTTAATTTAACATTGTGCCATTTAATTAAGGATAGCTAAACGATGTCAACATCTCTAAGCTTAACCTGGTGCATCTTACAAAATTAGTTATTTTCCTCTCTTTCCATGTTAGAATTCAAGAGCATCATGAACTAGTGAGGTTGTACTTTGCATTTTTAACGTCCAGATAGTAGGACGTTCAACCCCATTTCATTTCATTTTTAACCTAAAAAGCATAAAAATCTGTGCCAGGTACCAGCCGGTATCAATTGTGTCTTATCAAAGCAAGATTTTGGTCTGAGAGTGTCAGTAACTAGTCGTTCGGATGTGACGAAAAAACTGATGTCCCATGTACACATTGGCATGCAAAATTTCACTCATAGTATACTGTATGGCATTTATCCATCTACATTAGCCTAGTCGATGCAGAACAGTAGGGTGTTGAACCCCATTTCATTTCATTGTCGGTAATTTGTGGCTTATTTCCAGTCTTATTTAAGAGAAATGGTTGAACCCCATTTCATTTCATTGTCAGAAATTTGTGGCTTATTTCCAGTCTTGTTTAAGAGAATTGGTGCATTTATCAAAATGCTATTTCAGTTCTATTTATGATATGAAAACAATGTAGTAAGAAAGTATTTTTCTGTTGTAGTTGCCACCAAAACTAGGTTTGTTGAAGAAGTTATGGAAACTGGAGCTAGAGTTATGTCCTCTTGACGGTACAATTCAAGATTTGTTGAAAAACTCGCGCTATCAAGTAAAAGATATCCTGGGATTCTTACTGTCTATATTAGAAGAGTAAGTGTATTTTTTAAATAAAATAGATTTGACAGAATGTAACCTGCATCACCATCCTGTAAAATATAGAGAGGAGTTTACATCCACTCAACACAAACTAACTCATTTTGGGACTAAAATATGGTAAAATTTTACTTTAATAATTAGCTGATGTGCAGAGATTATTAGCAGGTGACCCTACTCATTGTCACATACAAGCATGGGATCAAAAACCACTTAACAACTTAAGATCTAAACTGCACGCATTAGACATTCTGTGAAAAAAGCAATACAATTATATTATGTTGTGTGCAGAAAAGTAGGACGTTAAAACAGATTTCATTTCATTTCGTGTTAGATTGTGGCAATCACATTTTTTTTTATCAACTCTGGGCTTTTACGAATTAGCAAGGTATTTTTTCCAAAGAATATGACATTCTTTTGCATTATCCCAATATTTTACATATTTTTATCTGATTTTGCACACAAAAACTATCAATTTAACAGTATCTATACTGCTTTTAGGTTAAAGTTTTTTCAAATTATAATTTTATGACATTTAAAATCTCCAGCAGGTAAATTTCACTGCCTGTCATTCAAGACTGGTCAATATGACTGTAGAATGAGACCTGATTTCTACTGTTTTAATTACGCTTCCACCATACTCTTTTTCTTTTTTTAAGATCAACAGAGTATAATTCAATGAATTTGATGTTTGTTGGATCCCATAAAATGGGCAAGACATCTTTATTAGAGAGAATGAGAAAAGAAGGCAAATCTAGTAATAAAGCAACAGTAAGATTTAACATGTTTTTATTATTTTAAACTTTTTCTTTATTCACGTCCAGTTTAGTGATAATACTCATTTGTGGACGAGGAACTGGGTCCCAAGCACAACTCATCTTGGTGTTCTTGGTAGTGAGGCTCCATGCAGTTCAAGTACGATCAACATGAAACATTGCATGATTGTTCCTAGAACAATTGTGTAACGATTCATGAATTTTGAATTTTGATAAGAAGTCACAATTCCAAGATGGCTGTGATAATGTCAGACTCAGTTCTTTGTACATAGGACACCTGTACCTGTACTGATAATACAAATTTATAAGATAAAGCTTTCTCTTTATGCATGTGTGTGTTATACTGAAAATCCTAATTTATAATATAGAACTTTCTTTTTACGATTCTAACATAACAATTTCACCCTTTTCTTTTTGGCATGAGGATAAAATTGGAAATTGAGTTCAAATGAGAAGCACAAAAAAACATTACCAGTAAATAAAAAACAAATTGCACTAAATAAATAGAGATTCAATTGGATTGTTGATACCAGTTTGTTTAATGGGAGCAACAGGTTGATAGCTCTGATACCAGCAATCAGAAATGATTCTGAAAATAGAAATAAAGCATATGGTGTATAGGTTTAAAGACCATTTTGTTTGTTTTGTAGGAATATCAACTACTCAGTTTGCCAATGATTCAGTTTTTATTTTTATTTTGCTTTGTAAAGTGAGATAAATTTGTCAAATATCAAATAGAATTATCTGAGAGATTGAAATGTTTGGAGACTGGTATGTTATTAATATGTGGTTGATAATTTTAATTTGGGGTTTAATTTCCAGCTTTATTTTAGCTTTGTTCTGCACGTAGATAGTTATAGTTTATATTATTTCTTTATAGAATCAAGACATAGAGGTGAGGATTTAGTTTCAAATTCCCGCCTTGCTTATTACTGCTACCTTTCGCTTTTCATAAAGTATAAAATCAGTACATGTATAAAGTACATCATATTTAAAGTCTATGATCGTCATATGCAGGATTTTGAATCATGGCTTGAATCCCTTGCAAACTACAATATTGTGAAATTTGAATCTCTAAAAGGAATGTCAGTCCACAAATCGTTTAATATTTAATATTTACACAGATTTGATGAATTTAAAATTTGGCAAACGTTCAGCATTGGGTAAAATCTGTTTTACCTGATTGAATCAAAACCAGCACATAAGCATTATCTAAGTATTATCTACGTTGAGATTTTGCTTTTGTTTTCTTAATTCAATGTTAAATAATCAATACGAGAGTACATATAAGCATGGATTAAGCTGCGAAAAATCAGATATTGGCTGAAATATGCAAATGACGATCAATTGTTTTAATCCACAGATACCTTGTTCATACCATCATCTCTTTCCGTTACTACAAGAATTCTGCCTTTCATAATATCTTCTCAATAATTCAAGGGTTATATGATTATATTTGATAGTATATGTAAAAATATAAAGGTTGACAAATGTTATTTCTTGAACTATTATATAATTGTCAGTGAAAATAAATCAGGGATTTGGGTGAAAATCAAATTTTGTTCTGATGGGTTGTCTTGATAATACTAATGTTACAAGCTGTTTGTTGTGCTCCGTTTTGAAGCAATAGGTGTCGCTGGTTAGATGTGGAAAGCCACCGTGTCAAGAACTCCCCACAGTCGACATGTGACACATACTCTCTTCTCTGCTACAGATTTTATTAGCCTTGTGATAGTCTAGGATTGTCTCTGGTTATATTTGTAAATCTCTTCTTTTGACTAGGACTCACATCGTGTATTTATTTTTATCTCAGCCACTAAGACATTTGTCTACCTGGAACAACAATACAACAGTTCGTTTTAACATGTTATATCAAGCAATGGATACATAGGTTACAATCATAGATTACAATAAAAGTAATTCTCTACTCTCTCTCAACCCCATCATTTCGCAGAACGAGTTTACTGACAAAATGTCTACATTAAATGGCTCTCCTACGACCTAACGGGGCATTCTGAATCCAGATGGTGTCTCTTCAACCTCAACGGTATTTCCCAACAAATCTATGTGATATCTTTCTCTTAAGAACTCAATGCGTGTCTACTGTATAGAATCTAAATCAGTCTTTTAATCATTGACAGTGTCCTTGAGACAACTCTGTCAATTATTTAATTGGACAAATATTATGTAATTAGATATGATGATTGATTACTTAGCCTAATGACGTCGAGAACCACCCTTATATGAACAGTGAAAACTTTCCATCAGGAGTGTCATGGGGGACAGTAGCGCTATGGCCTAGTTTTATTCCAAATTCCTGCTGTCAAGGTTTTTTTTTATGTCCACAATATCTATTGCCAGTCCTCCCGCCCTGCACCACTAACAAGAGGAAACCATGCCGGAAAATCCCGAGAAACTTTCTCTGTCAACAACGGGAAAACACCTGGGACGTCAAGGTCAGCAAGCCCTGACCTCCAGGTTAGTGAGCCAGCACCATACCCACTGAGCCACGACTATCTGTAGTAGGTAATCAAAGTGTTTAATGTGTAAGTATTATAAAATTTGTATATTTTAGCACTGGAGAGATAGAGTAAGCGATAATCCTGTGACTGGTAGAAAAGGTGAAATATTATCTACTGTTGGTATAGATATCAATGATCTTGTTATAGATAGAAAAACTAAAGGTCCGGTACATTTTAGAACATGGGATTTTGGAGGCCAGGTAACTATTTATGTTATGATAATCATTGGTATTGTATTTTATGCAATGATGCCTCAAAATATTGATGATTTGAATATGTCTTTGTGATGTGAAATAGAAACTATAGAAGGTAGAGAATGTCCTTGTGAATTGAAATATGAAATATAGAGGGCCTGATTATGTCATTGTGTAGTGAAATACAAAATAAAGAGGGCCTGATTGTGTTGTTGTGTAGCAAAATACACGACATAGAGTGCCTGATTATGTATTTGTCAAGTGATATACAAAATATTAGTGGAATGAAATTTGTTGTATTCAAGGTTCATTATGTCCTTGTGTCGTCAAATACAATATGTGAAAGGTCAGATTACATCTCTGTTAAGTGAATTACAACATATAAAAAATGTATTTATCAAGTGAAGTACAAACTATATAGGATCTCTTAAGCCATGTGATACAAATCTTTCCCAAATAGATGGGAAGAGGAAAGTTAAAGGGTGTGATATTGGATTGATGAGGAGAATGAAGGATATCATTCACAGATCTTATTGTCCCCCGCCTTTCGAAGAAAGCAGGGGACTATTAAAATGGGTTCGACCATCTGTCTGTATGTCCGTCCGTCCGTCTGTCCGTCACACTTTTTGGGACACAATAAATCTTTTTCTAATTGAGCTAGAATGTTCAAACTTGGTGTAGGTGTTTATTAGGTCAATGCCTTGATGGAGTTCGAAGATGAGCATTTTCTGCTTAGGGTAAGCAGCGATAAGCAATTTGATTGGTTGATGCTTTGGGACACGATAACTTGAGTATGTCCGTCCGTCCGTCTGTCCGTCACACTTTTTGGGACACAATAAATCTTTTTCTAATTGAGCTAGAATGTTCAAACTTGGTGTAGGTGTTTATTAGGTCAATGCCTTGATGGAGTTCGAAGATGAGCATTTTCTGCTTAGGGTAAGCAGCGATAAGCAATTTGATTGGTTGATGCTTTGGGACACGATAACTTGAGTTCTAATTAAGTGAGAGTGATGAAACTTGGTGTATAGTTTTATTACATCAATACCTTGACTAAGTTCGATAATAAGCATTTTCTGCTTATGGGTAAGCAGAGCGATAAGCAATTTGATTGGGTGAGACTTTGGAACACATTAACTCTCCTTCTAATTGAGCTAGAATGTTCAAACTTGGTGTAGGTGTTTATTAGGTGAATGCCTTGATAGAGGTCGAAGATGAGCATTTTCTGCTAAGGGTAAGCAGAGATAAGCAATTTGATTGGTCGATGCTTTGGGACACGATAACTTTAGTTCTAATTAAGTGAGAGTGGGGACACTTAGTGTATAGGTTTATCTCATCAATACCTTGAGTAAGTTCCATAAATAAGCATTTTCTGCTTATGGGTAAGCAGAGCGATAAGCAATTTGATTGGTCGAGACTTTGGAACACAACTCTCCTTCTAATTGAGGAAGAATGTTCATACTTGGTGTAGGCATTCATTAGGTGAATGTCTTGATGGAGTTCGATGATAAAGCTTGTCTGCTTACGGTCAGCAGAGATAAGCAATCTGATTGGTTGATGCTTTTGGGCACAATAACTTTGGTTTTAATTAAGTGAGAGTGATGAAACTCTGAGTATAGATTCGTTATATCATTACCTTGACTAAGTTTGTTAATGAGAATTTTCTGCTTAGGCTAAGGATCGATAACTTTGATTCTATATGATAGAGAGTGATCAAACTTAGTGTATAGGTGATAATTTGTTTGATTGCTTGATACTTTTGAAAAAAAATAAATGTGCGATTAATGAATATGTGTCATCTATTTATTTTTGGATTTCGGCGGGGGACATCAGCCTCACTGTTGGCTTGTTAAGCATAGATATGACTTAAACATACATTATGCAAGAGCTAAATCTGCCTATTGCAGGTCTTTCTTTAGGCCTGAAATGTTAACTAGATTACAACGGTTCGCCATTTAAAAATTTAATTTAAAAATGGGAAAGCGAGGCTAAGTCTCGAATATACCAGTGCCCTGGTTACCACAATGCACACATCTTGTCAAAACTACAAACAGTGATAACATGGCTCAGAATGAAGTAATTTGAAGGAAATTTTCAATATTTTCATTCTACATTATCAGTTTTGAGCTATTATAGCAAGAGAGGTCAACTCTTTATCTATAATATCTTTAATATTTAATGGTTTATATGTGTTCATTTTCAGAGAGAGTATTATGCTACACATCAATATTTTCTATCACCAAGATCCCTATATCTAGTCATATGGAATATTATTGAAGGTGAAAAAGGTGTTGAAAGTCTTCTACAATGGCTTATTAATATACAGGTAACACTATTTATTTAATAAACACTCATATAATATAAAGATACAACATATAATTATGCCCAGATGGTGCACAGAAACTGGATGTTAAACCAGGGATCTAAATCGGCTGATTATAGTCTGCTTCAGCTGCTTGATGATTGACAAAGCTGATTGATAAAACAATGAACCGGCCACTATGGTATCGTAAATCAATCTACTTTCATCTGAATAAAAACCCCATTTCAATTCATTTCCGTACCCAGACTCACTACCCAACACAACCTCTGGGTTTATCTTTGGTCATATCTGTATTACTTGTGCTGTGATAATGATGTTATCAGCAAAACCAAACATGCGTATCCAGTGTCATCTCCAAAAATATGTTGTTTGTGTCTTATAATCAATTATTCTGACGTAACTGCTGTTACATTGTTATTGACTCGTTAGTACAAATTCTTGTTAATATCAGAGGGAGGAATTCCTGATTGATTTATTTACAAACCAATAATTCTGCTTTACACGTCAATGAGCAAGGAGCTGTAATATTCTGATTCTTACTGCCGTGATAAAAACTACACATTGTTTAAGCGGCATTTAGAAACTGAATGAGAATAAATCATGACACAATTATATGGAACACAAGTTACCGGTACTTGTAAGTTTATTTCTGGTGACGTTTTGACAAGGGTTCGCTCGTCTTTGTCTTTATTTCATGTGTTATTGATACAGACTGGGTACAGGATTGTCACAGACCAGGATCAAATTCATAATTAATCTTGATTTATGTGAAGCAAATTCTGTACCTTAATTAGATAATAGCAATAAACGTACATTAAGAGATAGTATTATTTGATAAAGAGTCTTTGAACCCGAAACGTTATGAAGATGAATAAACCACATCAACTTTCAACCGTAGTCTGTTTTGTACTGCTGTTGTGCAGGGATTTTTTTAATATCTATTAATATTAAAAGACAGTTATAAATAATTTTGAATTTTTAGGCAAGAGCACCTGGTACTTCAGTTATTATTGTTGGAACCCACTTAGATATTCTGAAAGATAAAGCCACCAGACGGAATTATCCACCAGATTTTGAAGAGGCTATGACAGGTTTGATATATAAGACGTTCATCAACGAACAGGAACCTGATAAAAGTGGTTTACCGTTGATTAGAGATGTTATTAATCTGAGCTGTAAAACCGGGGAAAATGTGAGAAAACTGGTTGATTCCATCTACGAACATGCTTTTGATCTTCATCATCCCAGTAAGATTTATTTATATATTTCACTAGCTACCATTAAAATGACACAAGCTGATAGGCTTCACTTGTGTCATGTGGTCAAAGTTTGGCGTATTTTGTTTACTTCAGATTAGCAAGATATGACAAGAATATAACATACACATAAAAGCTATAAATTTAACTATATTTATTGAGTCATAGAGTTAAATTCTTTAATATTATAATTTTGTGGCATGTATATTGACTAACAAGTAAGTTCTTTAGCCGGTCATTTTTACACCCAATCAATCATGACAAGCAAATACGACTTAAACGCAAGCTCAGGACACAATGTTTTGATTTGGATTAAAAATAGTTTTTACAATTTCATTACATTTTATGTGCTGATTTATTTTGTTCGATGACAGTCTGGTTTTTGTTTGCATCTATAGATAGTCAGGGTTGAAATATAACTTGTACAGAAAAATTGAAACTAAAATTAGTAAACAATAAGAAAACTTTACTTCGGCCACATCAAATTGATTTTCTGTTTTTCCGGAAAACCTGTAAAAATTTCCCTTCTTATTTCTGCGGGAAAAAGATGTATTTAGAAACCAAAAGTACTTGGTTGTGCTGTTCAAAAGCTTTTAGTTCGAAATGATTAAATTTTGAATTTTTTTTTTTCTGTGATATCACCTCAGTAGAAGCGGACGTAAAATACAACTAACTCACACACACACAATTTTTTTAAAACATAATTTATGGTGTTTTATTTTTCTTAGAATCTAGAAGTCAGAAATTACTGAAACAAAAGATTCCTAAGAAATATCTGTTATTACAAGATATAGTACGAGAACTTGCTAGAGAACGTATATTAGAACATAAAGATCCTGTTCTTATTAAATCTAAATACATGTAAGTTTTCATTTTTTTGTGAGTTAGGTTTCTGAGAGAGACAAATGAAGTTTAAAGTCTACTCAACACAAAGTAAGGTCATTTTGGGACTACCATATGGGACTATTTTATTGAAATATTTTTCTTGCACGTAGGGGTCTTTAATGGTTAGGGGAAACAAAAAGACTCCAGAGAAAATCGATGAGGTTTGCCTGGTGACCCTACTCATTATGTAAAATCCTTGGGATCAAAACCACACCACTTGACTAAATGCCATATCAAAAGCTCATGCGTTAGTCCACTCGACCACCAAACTCCCCATATAGGTTTCAGCATGATACATTGATCTCTGGTCCAATCACAGAGGTCTTGATTTGAACTCATCCAGGGTTTTTTTTAAAATGTTATCACAGAACTTTGTAATTGTTGTTATTTTATTTACAACCCAGGCTTTGTGTTTCTAATAAAATGATAGAAAAAGAAGAAAAGACATTTCGAGATGTAGAAGAATTGGCTCAAGCTACAAGATTTCTTCATGAAAATGGTTTGTTATTTCCTTTGTATATATGTAATAGAATAGTTCACAAGATATTGATAATCAATTCTTCTCCATTAAATGTTATGTTAGTTAGCAGTAAACGTTGATACTCTTCACCTTTAAATGTTATGTTAAATAGCATTAAACACTGATACTCTTCATCATTGAATGTTATGTTGACAACAAATAAACACTGATACTATGTTAGATAGCAGTAAACACTGATACCTTTCACCATTAAATGTTATGTTAAATAGTAGTAAACTTTGTTACTCTTTATCATTGAATGTTATGTTAATTAGCAGTAAACACTGATCCTCCTCATCATTGAATGTTATGCTAATTAGCAGTAATCAGTGATACTCTTCATCATTGGATGTTATGTTGATTTAGCAGTAAAAACTGATACTCTTTCTTTATCCTTGAATGTTATGTTGACCACATGTCAACACAGATACTTATAGTCATTTTGGGACTAACATGTACAAACAGGTCTTCAGCAGTTGGTGGAAACTGGAGGACTTGGAGAAAACCCATGAAGTTCGACAGGCAACCCTACTCCTTTTCACTATAATCTTGTGATGAAAATCATGCTACTTGACTTAACAACAAACCATATGACCACCCAACCCCCAAATATATTCTAACAAACACTCCAAAACTACACACAGCATAATATGTGTACGATCTGTATTAATAAGGATTTTATATTGTATAATTACTGGTACTGCATTTCTATGATACTATATGACATTACTTTTTTTTTCAGGTGTTCTGTTTCATTATGAAGATCTGCCATTAAGAGATATGTATTTCTTGGATCCCCAATGGTTATGTGATCAGTTAGCTAAGGTCATCACTGTTAGAGAGGTTAATACATTTGCACCTAGAGGTTGGTAATATACCTAAATTTATATCTTATCATATTTCATGATCTAAAGTGTACACATTAGATCACTCGACCACCCAAACCCAGGTATGGATAGATATTTAATATAATAGTATCCTATTGTAACATGTACAGCATCTCTGAACACCAGAGTGAATGATGTGTGCTTTATAAATGGATGATGATGATGATGAGTGCGAACTGTGCGATGAATCATATGAGAAACACTTTCTTTTAAAGAGAAATAGATTTTATATTTACATGCTGTCTCACCTATTTCCACAGGTATAATGCAGATTGAAAATTTGAAATTCTTATTTAAAAGTTCAGCTTTTCAACATGACGATATTCAGAAATATATCACCAACCTCCTGGGTAAATTTGAGGTGGCTCTTCAGTTTGATGACAAAAATCTACTCCTGCCTTCTTTATTACCTAAAGAAAAAGAACTGAGAGCGAGCATTATTCATAAAACAGATATACGGGTGAGTTTTTTTTTTTTTAATTAATAAAAATTCTTTATAGCTTCAATGGGTAACGCTTGGGTTTATGGATTGACATATTCCTAATGCAGTGGCTATGAGCGTTGAAGAACTGGTGATGCTCATAATCATTGCTTCAGTAATATGGCGTGCTTGTATTTTTAATTATATTTATTTTGTCATCTTTAATCTCTTTGGTTCATACAGTCCTGTTAGAATCGTAGCCATGGTGTTTCAGTGAGTTTTCCTCTGGTTCCATCCTGGACTTGGTTGAGAAAGTTCAACAAGATTTTCCTGTCAGGTTTCACCAAGTCAGTGATGCAGGATGAAGGGCCTGGAATGGAAAAGTGTCTAGTCATTTAGATGGGACAGAAAACCAAAGTCAGTGTATACCATGAGCAGTACATTAAAGATCACCAGACAGTTGGATATCTGTCTGTATAAGATTTACCTTGTTGCACAGTTTTCATTAGCCAAGTTGTTGCAGATAATTCTGAGGTTAAACAAACATTATGCAAGAGCTAAATCTGCCTCTTTGTGTTGTATTATGATCAATTTGTATTTTTTTTTAAAACAGATTCCTGTACGACGATCAGAACAAACATCTGTTAATGTTAAATATGCCGTCCTCCAATCAACATATGAAGAACATTTTACAGTCGACCGACAAGCAATACCGTCACCAATATCGGTTGGAAAATCTCAATTTTACACTGGTCCACAGACTTTTCATAATTGTAACATTCAAGAAAGTCCGTTGATTTTACTTAAAATGAAGCCATCATGTAATCCGATATTTTCTTTCACGAGACTTTATTTCATGACTTATATTCCAAGTGGCTTCTGGCCGCGTTTAATTACAAGAGTATTAGCCGATTCCACTCTGTTCGATGTTATAACTGAATTATTTGAACTTCCTCCAGATCTATTAGAAAAGAGTGAAGATGTTAAAGCATTGTCTGGAAGTAATCCAGATTGGAGATGTTGGCAGACGGGTTTAGAACTGTTGCATTATGGTTTCGAAATGTTGCGCATCAGAGAAGTGTTTATGAACTCCCCTGTCAGTGTTTGCGATTACGCCGAGTGTCGTATTAAATGTGCTGTCGATTCGGAATGGGGATTTTTAGACATTTATCGCAGTAAGATTTTAGAGATAACATTTCCGACAGATTCTTTGACCTTTCACTTGACCTCAGAGAGCGGCTCCGAAACACAAGTTGGTGAATATACGACAACTATATTAAGAGATGATTCTGTTGCAGCCAAGTTAATTGTCAAGATTGTAGAACACATCGACAATTTACTGCAGGACTGGTATCCAGATTTAGGGGAATTACGTTTCCATCAGACGTGCGAAGGTCGATATCTTGTAACAAGAGTTGTCCTTTGTCCACAGTGTCTCCATGAAGAAGTTAAAAGACAGAAAAATTCGGACAAATCAGATGCCTGGTATTTCCTAGATCCTGACGTACCGGAGGTCCGTGCCAGAAGAATTGGACCAGAAGTTGAAGAAATAGAGAGACGTGACTCCTTTATGAAAACTGAGGACATGGGAGGAGATGGTATGGATCCAGAATTTGAAAGGTATGTGTAGGAGTTGTAAGGAGAATTACAGTCACATGGTGTATTCTAAACAATAACACATAAGGGAATACAGACATTTCATCTTTATTTTTTCAAACAGTGATATCTCAGTCGTCTACAGTAAGGTCTGTCATTGAGTCAAGTGGTGTGGTTTCACGTGACAAGAAGTAGGGTCTCCTGTCCAACCTCGTGGGTTTTCTCCAGGTCCTCAGGTCCTCACACTGCTAAAGACCCCTCCGCGCAATTGAAGTATTGACATAAAATTGAATCATACGTTAGTCCCAAAATAACCTAGTTTGTGTCGAGTGAACGTTAAACCCTCTTTTTCTCCTTCTCCACACCACACACAGAGAAAATCTCAGAAGATAAAGATTCATTATTTTTTAAAACCCAAATTTCCACAATTTTATCATTTAAGGAGTAACAAATAAGACTTGAAAACAAATTGCAGCAAATTGCAGCAAAATTAGATTTTTACAAATTATCTTTTCATGGTCCTTTTAAAGGGGCTAAACCTCTTACTCGATATCTTCCCATAATATCTGAAATTTAAAACACAAATAAGAATTTAATATTGATGAGCCATACGCCCATTACATTAAAATAATTACTTATAAAAAGGCCAAAATTAATACATATTACTTGTGTTTTTAGGGTGTGTGTTATTAATGTATAAATTTATTTCAGTTTAATGGAAGGTCAGTCGATGTTGTATAATAAAAAACAAGAAGAAGGAATTATTTATAGTTTTTTTGTTGAGAGATGTATGTTAGATTGTTTAGAAGGTTTAAATGAATGTTGTCCAGTACATGGCAGTGTATCACCTGCTCATATGATAGATGAGAAAGGTGTTAGTCGTACATTTTATATCGCACCAGATGTGGTAAGTAACTTGGTAAAATTGCTACTTGAAGATTTTGCACGTTGAGTTGTTTTGTTCTGTATTTGGAGTTTTAGGATTATGTGTGGATGCCATAGTGTAACTCTTTTATTGGCATTTTTTATTTGATATGTTAGGTCTGACATTGAGTCAGGCGGCGTGTTTTCGATCCAACTCTTGAACATGATAATGAGTAGGTTTGTGGTGTTTTTCTAGGTCTTACAGTTTCCTGCTGAAGACCCCTACTCAGCAAGTGGATTATTGTAAATAACCTAGTTTATTTTGAATGGATGTTAGAACCTCTCCCTCTCTCTCTCTCTCTCTCTCACTCTCTCTTACACACTAGGTTTCTAGTCTTAAATCTCTTTGTCGGAAATATTACCCAAATATAGGAAACAGAAATATGTCATAGACTGTATTAATGTTACCAATTGTACTTATATAGTCTTCCCCTTCATTCATCTTCCGTCCTAAATTACTTTTGAACACTCTACAGTTGTAATTTGAAAATAATAAGAGTAGGTTGTAGCACCACTATCTAGGCAAAATTTCACTCATAAAAGTAGGCTGTTAAACTTCATTTTGTATCATTTCAAATTTTTTACCTTTGTATTTTTTGTGTGTGTTATTAGGTATTTCATGATATAAGTAGTGATATATTGATATCAGAATCAGATGTATTAGTTAAAGGTGAAGATTTAGGTAAAGGTACATTTGGTGATGTTTATGCTGGACAACTCATAAGAAAGGTAGGCTTTGTAGTAATTTCAATACTGTAATCAAGGTAATAACTGCCCTGCTGCAAAAAGCTTTTAATAATGATATATAATAATAATGATGATAATAATTTATTCATGTATAAAGTGCAATAAAATCCAGTCATGGAATTTATATTTCTTTAAAACAAAGTTTAAAAATAAAGAACTGTTGCACATATATGATAAAGATAAATTACACACATGTAGAGTAACATGAATATAGTGTTATATTCGGATCCTTGGATCCAGGGGTGTTACACAGTTACAAGGAAACACAACCATTCTCCATGTTAGAATTCCAATCCCTTTCTTTATTACCGTACTCAAAAAGGCAAAAGAACTACAACATAAGGGAGACAACTTGTGTCAACTTAAACATAAGGTTTCAGACCACAATGATATAGAATAAACCACAATGTGACAATAGATATCAATAAAACACAGACACAGATCTAATCATTATGAAATAATTTTTATCACCCAGAAACACATTCTGCATTAGATATCGCTTGTGTGACAACTTTCATATTTTACTGAGCGATATCGTCATTTTTGATATAAAAAAATATCAACACTCGTCGATAAAATGTGATATTTTCTTATATCAAAAAAGACTCGTATGAGATTATCAATATAATTACATATATTAATTATGCAATTGTTGTACACATTATTTATAGGGAGAAGGGCCAAGTATTCCGGTAGCGATGAAGATTCTCTTTACTTCAAGCAAACAGAATAATTTACATATGGTAGGTTAATTTTATATACCTTAAAATTCACTGATAATTAGATTAATTCACTAGGATTGTCCTGAATAGATGCTAGATTATTCTGAATCTGAAGAAATTTTTTATGAAAATTGAGGGTTGAGGTCAGGTATATATCTTGATGTAATATTTATGTTCTGATGAATTTTTGGGCATTTTCATAACAGATAAATCAAGCTATATTTCCAAATTGGTATGAAAATGATATAAAATACCACTGTGTTTTGATTTATAGGGTGTGCAAGCAAGACTTGACCGAGCATCTCAAGCATATCTTATAGCAAGACAAGAGATTTCTATATTAGAAAATATCAAACATCCACACACTGTTCCATTATTGGGTCTACAAAGATATCCTCTCTGTCTGGTACTCAGTTTAGCTCCTATGGGTGCTCTTGATCATTATTTGAGAGATTTGAGTAGAAATGGACAGCTTCTACCTCTGTTTGTGATCAGGAAAGTTATAATACAGGTAATACAAAAATTTCAAAATAGGAAGTGATATTGGGTGTTAGAGGAAGCATACTCTTCATCTTGCATGTGTCATCTCTATTTGAATCAACCAGTAATTGAGGTTAATTTTATTAATTTTAAAATTGTGTTTGCCAGTTGAATATCAAAATTAATAAGGTATTTACAGATCGCAATTCTTGAATAAACTTCTAATTTTCAAGCCAATCAGAGTTTGGTTTTTGTTTAAAGCATAAATAAATCTACCATTTGAAATCAGTAGGTGTCTATAACCTAATATGGGCCACATATATATTTGTGGGCTACATTTAATTTGAAATATTTATTTCCATCCAGTTTTAACAATTGCTAATCAATATATGAATTGATTAGCCAAAATTTAATTGTTTTGAATAATTCACCGTTCAGTGGTTGTTTTTTTTAAAAAGAATCATTGAATTTGTGATGGTTTATTGTTTGTTTCTTTATTTATTTCAATATGAAATAATACGAATCAAAATTTATTTTCTAGGTGTCGCAAGCTGTGGCATACCTACATGCTAAACATATCATTTATCGTGATTTAAAGTCTGAGAATGTTTTGGTTTGGGCTTTACCTACATCTGCAGATGCAAAACCTTTTTCCGTAGTGGATGTTAAAATAGCTGATTATGGTATCAGTAGATCAGTATTGCCGTCTGGTGCTAAAGGTTTTGGGGGAACTCCACCATTTATAGCTCCAGAAATATTACAACATGCTGGAAAAGATACATACACTGAAAAGGTATTATAAAGCTTATATTTTATTTGAAAAAGGAGGATTGGGCGGGGGGCTGAATGATCTAATGAGTGCACTTTAGATCATAAGGTCCGTCATTGAGTGATGCTCATTTTAAAGGAAGTAAATTGCTAATATTTTAGACTTAGACATTGACACAAATGGGTTGCAACACATATAATAATGTAATATGAATGTATATAAACTAATTTACATTCAATCATTTTCGTTTTTACTCTAATTTCAAATCAGTTATGTTCGGCGAAATACGCCAGAAGTCTCAGTCGAATGGTAATCTCTAGCATCTTGATATTCCAGTCTACACTGATTAGAATATGACGTCAACGTTTGACATGACTTCTGGAATATGTCTAGCCTCGTTCTTTGTGCCCCTTGTTACAAATGGTGCTGAAATGCATTATGGTACACAATTCATGTACCAGTGGTAAAATGTTTATTTTGTCTTAAATATTGGATATCAGAAGCCCATCTTTTCCTAGTAACATCACAACATCAATGTTGATTTAAATTGATAAATAATTTGTGTTTTCAATGTCAAAGAGTTTGGATGATATTGAGTTAGAGACTTAGCTACTTTAAGTTTATATCGATTTCTATTGATTTCACACTGCCACCTTCTTTCTTCGACAAATATAGTAATTATAATTGTGCTATTCTTTTTTTTACAAGCAAGTTTTATATACAGTCTCTGAGTTGACAAACCATTCTCAGGCTTAAGTCAAGAACTCAAAATTGTTTGTCTTATTGTAACTAAAATATAGCCCTTTATAAAACTTATGTTGTTGTATCAAATACATCAGTAAGAAACTATGTGCAAAGTTTTGTGTTTCCTAATCAATGATTGAAAGTTGAGTTAATTCTTAATTTAAGTCTGAGAATGCTTTGTGAACTTTGTGCTCTTTTTATACTCTGACGTACTTAATTACATACTTAAATAACAACTGTCTTGACATTATAAAAGTGTTTACTTTTGGACTAGCTTGTTGCGTCTTTACGTGTGAATAATTTTTGATTCTTTGAGTTTGGTATATTTCAGGTTGATATATTTTCTTTTGGAATGTTTATGTATGAGTTATTAACATGTCGTCAGCCATTAATTGAAATGAACAGTCCTAGTTCTTATATATGTCAGGGTGGAAGACCAACTATAACATCTCAGGTAAGTGAGATACTGGGTAGTTTGGGCTGTCAAATGGTTGGATGACCGGGTGGTCTAATGTCTGCACTTCAATGGCATAGTTTCTGTCCCCAGCTTGTATGTGAGGTCGCCTGCCCAATCTCTTGGCTTTTTTTAAGTCCTCCTGTTTCCTCCCATTGCTAAAGACCCTTACGGACATATAATTATAGAAATAATATTTCGTAGTCCTGAAATGAACTGGTTTATGTCGAGTAGACATTAAACCACATCTCTCACTCTTGTCCATTCATTATTTAAGGCCAGCATGACTAAGAAAAATATCAGTAAAATGAAAATATTTTAATTACCCTTTGTTTTTCAATGGATTACCTTTCACTTAAGGGTTTCATATTTTAAAGACGGTCCAGTCTCTTTAAAGAAAAAAACAATTATTTTCACCATCCATGACAAGTTACAATAGTCGTGTCTCTAACAAAAGTAATCAACCTGCAGCATGCCTAAGGTCTAAAAGTACAGACCCATAGGCCTTGATTTGTCTGCATTTTCACCCTTTGTGGAAGCAGCTGTCAAGCCCACGAATACATGAGTTTAGGGTAATCTGCTACATTCTAGATTAACAAGGATTTTGATCTTTCTCTCATGGTGAAACTTCCTCTTTGCTTTCATGTGGATAGGTTAGTTCTTCATAGAATTTTAATGCATGAATTAAAATAATGTATGTTTTATTACAGGATGTCAACATGTATCCTTCCTATATGTTAGATGTCATGACTACTGCATGGTCACATGATCCTATGGATCGACCGTCTGCAGATAATATAGTCAGTATTTCTACTTCACCTCAGTTTATACATCTGCGTGATGCTGTTAGTCTGGGACCTGATGTTGGTATATTGTGTGGTTTAGTTATACCCTGTACTGACAACAATCCTATACCACGTAAGTATAAGTACATTAATTATGATGATCTTTCCTAAACTTGAAGGGGTGGCCAAATGGTTAACGCGTGCGTGTTAGATCATAAGGTCTGTCATTGAGGCAAGTGGCATGGTTTCAATTCCCTGCTTGTATGTGACAAGGGGTAATGTCACCTGTCCAACCTCGTGGGTTTTCTCTGCATCCTCTGGTTTAATCTGACTGCTAAATACCCCTAGCGAATTATAGAAATAAAATTGAACCATGTTAGTCCAAAATGACCTAGTTTGTGTTGAGTGGACATCAAACCCCATTCTCTCTCCCTCTCTTCTAAAATGAAATGTGGTTTAACATCCTAGTTTCTGCAGCATCGAGGTATTGGCAATGGACTATGTGCTATGGGTGAAATTTGCCCCGACAGCAGCATTTCCACCTTCTCTTAGTCGGATTTCAACAGAGACCAATGAAAAGACTGCTCTAATTTACTCTTTACTCTTTAACGAATATAATGGTAATATTCCTGAACTTGACAAGACTGTATTTGAAGAAGAGTAGTTTTCATCTAGGATGCATTTTGGGCATCCAAAACGGGTCCTGGATTAGAGTACAGTTTTGTCAAGTTTGTTGCTCGGGGAATATTGCCTGCATTACACAGGGATTCTTCCACCCATCGGCTGTACTTTCAGTAAGAAGTTACTTCTTAAAAAAAACCTTAGGGTCATCCAATTCATGTATGATCAACATGAAACTTGGCATGCTTGTCCTAGACAATTGTGCATTGATGGTTTAAATCCCGGTCCATATAGTACCATTGTCAATATTGTACCATCATGATTTAACATGAGAATATATATTACAGTAGAGAAATTACAGAATGGTATTGATGACGATAGTAATGATACATCTCTAGATAAAGATATGAGTAATTATATATGGTTAAGTACTAAACATCGTACTGGTTGTAGTATAGAAGTTTTAGGATTTAATCAATGGAGTCACTGTGTTTCTAGTAAAGTAAGTGACATCAAATATACAGTCAGTGTGTTTCTAGTAAAGTAAGTCGCGTCAAATACACAGTCAGTGTGTTTCTAGTAAAGTAAGTCGCATCAAATACAGTCAGTTTGTTTCTAGTAAAGTAAGTAACATCAAATATATAGTCATTGTCTTTATAGTAAATTAAGTGACATCAAATATACGGTCATTGTGTTTCTAGTAAAGTAAGTCACAAACATCATCAAATATACAGTCAGGCAGAAACATATTTTAGAGTATGAACCAACCTCTTACATTCCATCTGCGAAGATTTAATGTTCAAACTGTCTCTTAATTCGCCCCTGAGGGTAATTTGATCAAATTAGACTACAAGTTCTGATACAAAATCATGATGATCTGTAGTGGCCTTTTGAAGCAAAGCATTTTATTTATGAAAAAAGGAGTCTTGAAATAAAACTGAAGGATTTGGGGTATCTTTATTTTGTCTCTCATTTTAAAATGTGCAAAAAAATAATTCTTGTTAACCCAAGCATTTCAAAATTTAATTGAAGTTAACAGGCCAGAATTACGTCAACAGAAATCGTTGTCAGCTTCAGGAAATATAAACTTCCATTCCCTTTAATAGAATTCACGAAATCTTATTGTTCGATTGAGCATATTCAAGGTCATGTAGTAGGCTACATCTTCAGGCAAAACAGCAGTTTAGCTACAAATATTTCTTATGTAGCATATCACATTCTGAATAGTATTTATGATCACCACAAAAGTGATCATATTGTTTTATTAGATATATACATGTAGTAAAATAAATATGATTTGTATTTTAGACAGTATCAGTTAGTGGAACAGAAGTAACAGCTTTAACTGTAGTAGAAGATTTAGTATGGTGTGCTGATTCAAATGGTTTTATTACAATTATCTGGTAAATAAAAATTAATTGTGATTTGACTAGGATTGAAATGGTCTTTACTGTCACTTTGTAGAAACAATTTTATCATAATTGTCTATAAAAGTGAGTCATGTAAAGCTACAATGTATAAGTGTCATATTTTAAAAATTGAGAAAAAATGACACCAGCTACGCTAAAACTATATGACTTTTCCCCACCCACCAACAAATCGTTTTTCTCCTGTCACCTATTCCCTACCCCCCCCCCCCCCACTTGGTTTAACAAAATTTGTTGCACTGTTAATGCAGTGTTCGATCCCTGCATTTGCCGAGATAGTTCATCCAGATTTTCCGGCGTGGTTCCCCCTTGTCAGTGATGAAGGACGGAGGGCCTGACAAGGACAGCTGTCTAGTCGTTTGGATGGGACGAAAAACCGAGGTCCCGTGTACACATTGGCGTGCACGTAAAAGATCCCTTGACAGTTGGAACTCGATATAAGAGTAGGCCATAGTGCCGCTGTCCGGGCAAAATTTCTCTCATAGCACACTGTATGGCGTATGCCCGTCTTCATTAGGCCAGTTCAGAGCAAAACAGTAGGACGTTAAACCCCATTTCATTTCATCTTTCAAATTAGAAGGCATGGCATTCCATAACTTTGCTCCTTTGTAAGTGAGACTGTTCTTGAAAAAGACTATGTTTGGTTGAGGAAGCAATAAATATGAATTTAGTTTATTGCAAGAAGTAACCTTGTATTGGAAACTATTACCATGAAGAATTTTAAATAGAAAAGTCATTTTGTTATAGAACTGTTTGTGAATGAAAAATCAAGTTAAATGCATTTATCACTTTCAACTAGACAATTAAATGCCTATTCTATATAACCTAGTTAGTAGACCTAATAATCTAAAATCTAATCTGAATCTGGGCAATGGATTTACAAAATCGGTCTCAATTTTAACGTCATTCTTGATGTAACACCAAAGTGTTAAAATCTCATTAATGTATATGCTATAAGAAATATAGGGGGCGCCGGCGAATGATTTAAAGCGTGCGTCTTAAATCACAAGGTCGGTCATTAAGTCAAGTGGCATGGTTTCGACTCCCCGCTTGAATGTGACAAGGAGAAGGGTCGTCTATCTAGCCGTTTTGGTTTTCTCTGGGTCCTCTTGTTTCCTCCTTCTGCTAAAGACCCCTACACGCAAGTGAATTATTGGTATAAAATTGAACTGTATGTTTGTCCCGAGATTACATAGTTTGTGTCGAGTGGAAGTTAAACCTCATTTCCCTCTCTCTGTCTAAAAGAAGTACATATTGATCTTTAATTTTAGTTCAAAGAGTCACAAACTACTTCGTCAATTTGCCTTACCCATAAAGAATTCATCTAATGTCTATGTGGTTGGTTTGAATTATTTCCCGAAACATGAAAAAGTTGTAGCTGTTGTACAGACGGGAGAGTTGTATACGTTAAATACATGCAATGGTCAGTTATCAGATTTAGATATAAATGAATACTCAACAGATACAAGTCTATGTTCTGTACAGATACAAAATAACAAACAGTAAGTATTATTGTCGTATTCTTATGATTACTGCCAGGGATTTGGTGCTAGTGCTGGGTATTGCCACTGCAGTATTGTTATTAATCTGCTACGATACGATTTGTATTACGATTTATAACCAAGAAAACAACAAGATAAATGAATAATTGATATTTTTAGTCCTGCTGATGTTGAAGAAATAAAACTGTTTTATATCACGATATTGATGTGGATCAAAACAATTTAAGAGTGTTTGTGTACCTATGGATAATGTGTGACGTGGATAATTAAGTGATAAAACAGAATCATGAATAATCGATTCAGCATCTTACGATTCAATATTCGAATCATGAGAAGGGGAATTGCGATACATCGATTCAATGATATATCGTGTCAGTACTATTTGGCGTAGCAGTTAGAGAGTATGATTTGTGACCAAACACTTGTGTTATTCATTAATACTAATATCCTAGGAATTGAATACTTACAGTTTATCTATCTGCCCTTTGTTTCTTTCCCTCGCTTGATTTTGTTTAAATCAAAGCTTAGAAAACTTTTCATGATAGAAATCATTGCCACAAGGAAAAAAGTAATCGCCAACAATTGCTAGATTCAAAATTTAATCGACAGATTATATTTATGTAGTAATTGGCAGACATGGTGATCAATTGGGTGAGCACTGGCTCTTTTCCTCCACAGATTATTTTTAAATTAATGGTAACTATAGTTAACTAGTAATAATTTCTGGTCTATTTCTGTAAATAGAAATGAAATATGGCTGGGTCAGTCTAGTGGTAAAATTGGTATATGGGATGTAAACAAGTGTTGTATGGTTGGTGAACTAGAGTCATGTGATAAGATGGTATCAAAGAGAACATTTTGTATGTTTATGGTGGCAGGACAACCACAATATTGTGAGGAAACGTATATCTGGTCATATAGCTATCCAGGTAATGTATAGTTATTATGTTACTGTAATTTAATGCATTTTATTTTTAACACATATCGTATAGATATATTTTGTATGAAATTAATGTGACATCTCGGGAGTTTCCTCCATCGTTTTTATTTGATGTGAAGCGTGTATCACTGCAGGCTTTAGACTGTACATACTCCTCGCAGTGTTTCGTTTGATTAGAGCTAATCCCACTTAACACTGCTGTAATGGAAGCACATTTCTGTTCCAAATTATGACTGTTCAATAGTCCAATTAACAACCAATAGCTAACTGCGTAACAATATCATTACCCTTTAAACAGAGCTCCAAATTGGACCAAATATGTCTACATAATGTTACGTCATGACTAACCAGTGCATATATATTGCAGAAAAACTAATTGCGTGACAAACGAGGCTATCAACATGAATTCAATGTAAACAATACTGTTTGTAGATTGTAAGGCACAGAGAACCTTTATAGCTGGCTTCTTTATAGCTGGCTTCTGAATTCATTAAATGGAGGATTTTTTCTACCGTTGATATTTTGTTGACTTGAAGATACATTAGTTAAGAGTTTAATAAAGAGTTGGTCATTCTTGTTACAATAATTCAAAAATAGATGATAAAAAAAAGAAAATATTGAAAATTTCATTAAAATTACTTCATTCTCAGCCAAGTTATCATTGTTTGTAGTTTTGACAAGATGTGTGCAGGTGGTAAACAGGGCACTGTTATAATCGGGACTTAGCCTCGCTTTCCCATTTTTAAATTAAATTTTTAAATGGCGAACCGTTTTAATCTAGTTAAAATCTCGAGTATCCGATGCCATCGAGAGTCGATTATGGTCTTGTTTTGTTAATAAATGTCTAATTAATAGTTTATATAACATTTCAGGCCCAAAGAAAGACCTGCAATAGGCAGTTTTAGCTCTTGCATGTTTAATGAAATGTTGAGTACATTTTAGCACAGATAAAGCTGTGAAAAATAAGATATTGTCCTAACATACAAATGATGATCAGTGACTTAAATCAACATAGGTTAAGCCAAGTTTCTCTGTGAAGGGGGTTGAGTGGTCAATTGGTCTTACACTTGCAATTTAGTTCGTAAGATCTGTCATTGAATCACGTGATGTTGTTTAGATCCAAAGCTTGTACTATGGGTCCTCCAGTTTCCTCCCACATCCTGTACTCCCCTGCGCACAAGCAAATTATTGAAATAAAATTCAAACATAAGTTAGTCTTGCGATGACCTAAATTGTGTCAAGTGGACGTTAAATATTATTTCTTCCTCTCTCTTTATAGGTTCAGTCATACTACGCTGGAATACAGTTCAAAGAAAGATAGTGAACCGATTAGATATATCACAAGTATTATCATCCATAGATACCAAAATACCTAATGGTAAGAACATTACAGCATTTATATCTCCATTATTCAATGGGAATTTTAATAGATTTATTGTAAACATCACTGAAAAAGATTTGAGGTATAGAAATAAATGGAGTGGATTTCAACATCCTAGTTTACTGCACCAATGAGGCTAATGAAGACAGGCATACACGTTGTAGTGTTCCATGAGGGAAATTTGCCCGAACATTGAGGTTTCCACCAACATCGAATTCAAAATGTGAAATGTTTTTTTATTTGCTTGCCAATAAATACATGGATGGATCTTAGGGTTTTTTTTAGACACCTTTCCTTGCCAGGCCCTCAGTCGTGCTCCATGGACAAGGGGAAATCTGGCTCGATAATCTCAAGGAACGTTCTCTGGCAGGGATCGTTTGGTTATATATGTATATAAATGAATAGGTGGAATAGTTCTGTCACAAGAATTTCATATTAAAAGATGCATTTAACCATGAAAGAATATTAATAGATGTTTAAGAATTAGAAAATTAGGACCATTTGCTGCATTATTTTCAATTTTTTTTTGTTTTGTTACAATTCGTTTAATGATGCATACTGGTACATATATTTATCGCTTTAAGCTTGAATTCTGTTCATGTGGGTTGTACATAAATCCCAAATCAGATGACTTGCACTCAAAGCTTATTTTATTCCTTCTTGTATTTCAGCTAGCAAATGTCAAGTAACAGCTTTGAATGTTTCTGGAAAATATTTATATATTGGTACAACATTAGGTAGTGTTATAGTAGCTGATGCATTAACTTTAGCCCATTATAATATAGTCAAGTGTCACATAGAAAAAGAATTCTATATTAAATGTATTCTGCCATTAGTACCAGTAGATGATGAAAATAGTGACGATAAAGTAAATATTATTAAAAACAGCCCTGGTATTGTAACTGTTGGTAAAGGTTATATAGATTTAGTACGAGTCTCACCTAACAAACAGGATAACACGAAAGTTAAAGACAACATCACAGTAACTGATAAACCGAGTCCAGCTCTAAAAGATCCATTATTACATCATACATTTATGTTATCATGGCATGCTGAAAACTGGGAATATTGCTAAATAGATGTTTAATGTTACTGTATATTCATTGTATTTCCTCTAGTTATCTGATACTTAATGTATACTTACTGCAGTTTTTCTTATATTTACTGTAGTTTATCATATGCAGTTTATCTGTATGTACTGAAGTTTATTGTATACTTACTCCAGTTTATCATACTTAAAGTTGCAATTGCAAATTTTCAAGTTATATTTTTAAAATGTATTAAAATAAAGCCTTATAATAGATGGTATCTATAAACAGTCCTACCTTGTTAAAGAATAATCCTATAATTCGCTATTGCCAGCTGAGAAATTGGCAAAAATATCATTTTTAACTTCAAATTCCAACGTTAAAAAATGGCTGCCCCATGTTGTCAATAGCAAAACAGGGGAGGTAATTGTGTTGTTATTTCCTGTGTCATAGATTTTTAAGGGTGGGAAATAATGCCCATGATCGTATAATAGTGATTTGATAACCTATTGAGCAAAAGACATAGAAATAATTATGTTTTGACTTTCTTAGAAAATTTGAAATTCTCGCTTTAATGCAGTTAATCGTATACATACTGCAGTTTATCTGATACTTACTGCAGTTTATTGTATACTTTACCACAGTTTATCATATATTTACTACAGTTTATGTTATTCTTACTGCAGTTTATCTTGTACTTACTGCAGTTTATCCGATACTTTACTTTATCTGATACTTTACTGCAGTTTATCTGATACTTACTGCAATTTATCTTATACTGTTTGTATAGTTACTGTAGTTTATCTCATACATATTGCAGTTTATCTTATACTAACTGCAGTTTATCGAATTAACTGCAGTAAATATTTTACTCTTAGTTTCTGATATTTAACAAATCTGTGTATATTTTATTATTTTTATGTATATCTAGTCATGCAAATTAATATTAAATACACTATGCTCAAAATACATAGCCAACCTAAATGTATTGTTTTTAAAAAAATTATTAAAATATTAATTTATTTAGTACAAGCATTGTATTTACCCATAATACACACTGAAAAGAACATCAGTGAAAAGGATGTGACTACAATGTGATAAAATATACAGGTCACAATTCTATGGACTACAATTACTGCTTTTTACTGAGCGACATTTCGACTAAGCTTCTCTAGTCATTATCAAGCATTGATAAAATATGACAAGACAATATATACATGTACACACACAACAATACTTGGTTAATGCTGACCAACCAGAGACACCCTTCTAATTACCTTAAATGGAACCTAACTTAGTTTAAGGTAATTAGAAGGGTGTCTCTGGTTGGTCAACATTAACCAAGTATTGTTGTGTGCATGTATATATTGTCTTGTTATATTTTCATATTTTATCATTGCTTGATAATGACTAGAGAAGCCTAGTCAAAACGTCGCTCAGTAATAAGCAGTAATTGTATTCCATAGAATTGTGACCTGTATATTCCAGTTCAATTACTAAATGCTATTGAAACAATTTAATGTGATTAATGGTTAAAAAGCTCACAGGGTGCTCTTACTGGTAAAGTAATTGAGTGAAGAATCATTTGTTTTTCACAGACTAAATCCTCCCTGTGTTTGCTACATTTAATACTTTGAAGTATTGTTACTTGAATATGTCACTGGACAAGAAAACAGTGCACATGGCACAATTATGTTTTACTCATTAGGTGAGTTTATTCAAGTTTTAATAATGACCAGTTGTGATAAGTATTTCATATATAATACTGATGGTATGTAGAACTCTCTCAGGAATGTAACAGATACAATATGGTATAAAAGCCGATATTGGTGGTCAGTTGAGTTTTCATTCTTAAAATGTTTAGTTTTAACGTTAAGAGTTTTTCCTTAGTTATTGATTTTAAAATCTTTTGCAAATGTTGTCTGTTCCAGATAGAAACAATTTCTCACTTCAAGAACTGGGGTGAAAATAAGTTAGCGGTGAAATGTTTTGGCATGTATCTTAAAAGCGAACAAAATAACTTGTTTTTATACCTATATCCAGTTTTTGTTATTTTGTGATAATATGAAATTATTATGTTATATACTTTAGTTAATTAAATGAAACTGTCTCATTGTTAAATAACTTGATGTTTTTGATAAATCAATATTTCTGATATGATATATGTGATATTAAGTGCTGTATTCTACAACGTATAGTAGTAATAGATTAATTAGTCACACACGATCAAAATAAGTTTGCTATTAAGCTGAGTTTATATACTCTCATATGCACAATATTGAAAGTGATATTGATATCTTACTAGGGCATAAGTCTGAGTGGTGTATCAATATATTACACAAGGTTTTACTGGAGACCATTAAACAACTTATAATATATACAGACACTATCCTGCTTGTGCATTTCAATGAAATCGTCACAGAATCCATTATTTCATCTAATATAAAAAATGTACATTATTTGAAATAATGGTACCCCAACTTCAAAGGATGAGGCCACATTCATATTTTAATTTTGACATTTTCCATTTGAGTGGCACATTCATAAAGGGTTAGTGTAGGGATAGTAGTATTGTGTCAATTATTGACTAATGATTGTTATGAGATTATATTAAAGAGAGAGGGAGAGAAATGGGGTTTAACATCCACTCGACACAAACTAGGTCATTTTGGGACTAACATATGGTTGAATTTTATTTCAATAAGTCACTTGCGCGTAGGGGTCTTTAGCAGTGGGAGGAAACCGAAGGACCCGGAGAAAACCCATGAGGTTGGACATGCGACCCTACTCCTTGTCACGTACAGCTGGGGAATCGAAACCACACCAGTTGACTCAATGACGGACCTTATGATACTGCGCGCACGTGCTAACCATTCGGCCATCCAACCCCCTAGGTCAAGTTAAAACTTGTGAAGATATCTGGCTAGTTTGAGAATTGAACAAAGAGTCCAATACATTGTGAATTTATAGCTTTCCTTTTTCAGTAAAGCCATGTGCAATTAAGTTTATCAGATGCTAAGGTCAGTATTGTGCATAAAGAATTTTTCATAATGAAATTTTTCATTGTACTTAACTATCGTTATTTTCCAAACATTAAAAGGTACAAATTATGTATTTATGTAAATTTCTCATGAAATATGGCAATATGATGAAATGAAATATGGTTTTATGGCACGTCAGCTCCAACCGGGCTATATTACGCCAACGCAACATGATCAAATAGTTAACATGTTTATTAAATGGCTTCATTTATGATAGACAAATTTTATTGTTATTTTATGTTGTTTTCTACTTTCATATTTTATTAGTTGTTGGTGCAGTTTATTTTACCATAGAATATTGTGTTGTTTTTGATTAGTATAAGATAAAGTACTGTATATTTACATGTTGTATTAATGGATTCGTTCATGTAGATATATAAATATTAAAGGTTCTGTGTATTTTTATCTTCTTTACAGGAACAGAATTTTTTATAACAAAAGAACAGGTGTCAACTTCTTTAAAACAAAATTTTCAATAATTGTGCAGCTATAAAATTTGGTTTGTATTACAGTAGATAGTTATGATTTAAATACTATAATTGTATTCATACTTTGTAAATTTCATTTGTAAGGTCATACAAACAAATATATTCTGGTTCTCAGATACTACCGCATCACTTAAAAAGGGCCGCATGACCTGTTTTTATTTCAAAAAATAAAAATCTCATGTACTGGTAAATATTTTTCCTCAGTTACAGGAAGCAAAAATTTGAAATGTATGTAACCTTGATAAATGTCAATGTCATGAATTACACTAGTGTAGATAATCTTACATTGCTATAAACGACATGATGAGATGAATGTAGAGCCTGGAAATGTGATGTGAGAATTGATTTAGCCCAGTAGTGATAAAAACCGAAAAATAAAAAAACTCCCTCTTGGATCAGATTGTTTGGAAGGATTGTCTGAGAACCAGAATATTTTTTTGTCATGGCCTAAGTTTACTTTGTTACTGTTGCTCATTTAGTTGTATATTATGTGCTATTTCTCTATGTGATAATTTTCTGCTCTTATTTATTTTTTAACATGCGCATATTTATGCATAGGATAATACATGTATCAGTATGTACCTATGTTAAATCTATGAAAGTATTTAGAACATATGTTATTATTATTGTTACTAACTATATTACATGATTGTAATTGTTGTGAAAGATGTAAATATAAAATAAATAGTGAAACGTGATTTTGTAGAAATTTCAACTTTTGTTTTCTTTTGTCACCTTATAATCAATCCTATCTGTTAAAATACAGACTTTACCCATTCTTTCTTGTCCAACACCTTAATACGATTTATTGGCTCATGGATTTCCGGAGAGGCTGGGTGGACAAATTGTCTAACTTGTGTGCTTTAGACCATAAGGTCTGTTATTGGGTCGATTGGCGAGGTTTCGATCCCAAGCTTGTGCGTGACAAGTAGTAGGATTTTCTCTGCATTGCTAGATTACTTTACAATTCTCGAACTTATAGCTACATTATCTGCAGACTCTTGAACAGTATCGTCCAATCAGAGGTTACGACATAGCAGCCTCCACAGAAACCTTGACATTGAACGAACCTCATACTTTGCAACGTGATTATCACAGGTAGACATTTTAGCTTGAAAGCGCGAGACTTGGCATTCGTGATGATCAAGGAATCTGATTGGCTCCCAAGCTGTGTGAATACTCAATCGAAATTAGTGCCGAAATATGCAGGTATTATGTGAAGGCCTTAATAAGAGGTACTAGTTAAAGCGAGATGAAGCCTTCTATTGAAGATATGGGTCCTCCTGGTTCTTCCAAGTGCCAAAGACCCCTACATGAAAGTGAATTATTGAAATAAAATTGTACGTTAGTCCCAAAATGACCTAGTTTGTGTTGCGTGAATGTAATACCACTTTTGTGTTGTGTGAATGTTATACCACTTTTCTGTCTCATGGATTTCGCTCTCTTACATTAGTACAGGGTGTCAGGATGGTTTCTGTTTCTAATTTATTAAACTGGGTTTAAGATGCAAAACTGGCCAAAGATCAGATCTTTTAAGTGCAAAGTGAGAAAGTTGCTTATGATTTTCTGGCGTGGTTTACTCTTGTCAGTGGTGCAGGACTGAGGGCCTGGCAAGGGACAGTGTCTAGTCATCTTGATGTTCTGAAAAACCAAGGTACCGAAGCTAAAAGAACCCTTGACAGTTGGAATTCCAAATAAGAGTAGGATGTACATGTAATGCTGCTGCCCAGGCACAATTAGCCTGGGTATTGAAGAAAAGTAGGACATTGAACCCCATTTCATTTCATATAACTGCAAAGCAGTAAGACACAGTGTGGGCATACTGTAACATGTTACTCTCATTTCCACCAATCTCTCACAAAGTGTTGAACAACTATGACTCATGCATACAGTATTAGTATTCATATGTAGATTCCATATTTGTACATATTATCAAGTCTGGAAAAAGACACCTGTTACTGATAGACAATGGTAGGCACAAATTCAGGCTTTGTCACAGTACAGCCCCTCTGGTACTTCTAATTTTAAACTGCACTGTGTTGTTTTGTAGATATTTTCAATACATGTCTGTCCCGAAGTTCAGTCGTGCCTGACATTTTTTTCAGATACAAGTAAAATCACAATTTCCAGGCCCAATAATAACAGCATTTTGTGGAGCAGATTAACTGCAATGTTAACTGTGACTGATCTGCCAGTAGGTCTATACATGTATTTACATATTCTACAAGGCTAATAGAGAGAGAGAATGGGGTTTAACGTCCACCCGACACAAACTAGGTCATTTTAGGACTAACACATGGGTCAATTTTATTTCAATAATTCGTTTGCGTGTATGGTTCTTTAGCAGTGGGAGGAAACCAGACAAAACCCACAAGGTTGGACATGCGACCCTACTCTTTGTCAAGTACAACTGGGGAATTGAAACCATGCCGATGACTCAATGACAGACCGTATGATACAGCGTGCACGTACTAACCATTCGTCCATCCACCCCCCCCCCCCTCAAGACTAATACATATGTATGGATTGATATAACAAAGTTAATCCGAGATTAAATGTGTACAACATATACGGAACTAGCAGTATCAGAAGTTACTGCATTTAAAAATACCCAATAATAAGTTAACAGGTTTTAAAATAAACATTAACACCTTTAATATCTTCTTAAAACCAATTTTTCTTATAACAGAACCAACCAACTTTATTTTCAAGTTCCCATTTACGGCCATATAAATTAGAAATAGTTTTTTCCAGAATTTCTTCATTTTTACTATTCTCTTTCAACCACATAATCAAATCTTGGGGATAATCTAGATGATTTTTATCATCAAAGTCATAATAAACTTCAACTCTTAAGAACCTCAGTTTTTTTAATTTTCGAGTTTTAGCTATCAGTAACACAGTCGAACTTGCAATTGAGAATTCATATTCAAGTTCTTGTAAATGCTTGCACCTTCTCACCATATCTACCAAGGCTAACTCTAGTCTCCCATCAGCATTTTCTGATAACGTGGAATTTACACAAGAAAAAGACTGCAATGTTGAATTATATTTATTTATAATTTCATCTAATAATCCTTTAGTAATACTGGTCTGTAATTCATCTAGGACTAATTTCCTTAAGGGCATGTAAAGCGGAAAATGATCCTTTAAAATTATTACATATTCCATCAAAATGTCTATTCTAAATTCTGGAGTTTTTTTAACAATTGTTTTCCAAAACTCTTCCTTAGATCGAGATGTATGATTGTCTGGAATATCTACATCCTGGTATAAACGCAGCTCTGTTAGGCTGTTTGATGTCAACTCCAGAATGGTGTCGTTAGTTATACAAAATCGATTGATTAATAAATGTCTGAGATTTTTAAAGTCAACTAGGCACTTCAACTGGCCCTTGTAGTCATCAAGGGAATCACTTCGTAATTTTAAAACAGTTAATTTAAGTTGTAATTTATTGTTAATTATCCCCAAGAGGGGATTACATTCAACATCAGACCATGGTACTGCTGGATTAATAAGCTCTGCTTCCTTAAGACAGTCCTTTTTTAAGATCTCTAAATATGTTTTAGTTAGTAATGCAGACCACGAAAAATTAGATCTTTGGATAACTTTGAAATGTTGAAGAATTGAACAGTAACTTAACACTGCTTCAAATAACTGAAATTCCCAATAGCTCCAATCTGCCGCTGACTGTTCTATTTCAAAGGTCAAACTTTTAAAATGTTTTCCATATTTTTCAATGCAATACAAGAAACGGTCCATCTGTGAAATGTTCTCTTGGGTTGATAATCCCCAATTTCCCTTTATATGTTTGAAAACGAGAGATGGCCAAGAACAGGTAGTTTCCAAATAAATCTGCCATGGTAGAATTGCTCTCACAGCATTGAGTTTATCAATCCAGTTTAATTCTGCCAGAATTTTAGTTATGATGATGGCAGGAAGCCTTGTCACCTCCATGATCCATTAATCTTACTGAAATGAATAAAACAATTTTTCATTAAAATCCTATGCATCCAAACCAACAGAAATTAGTTGCATATTCTTACCAAATTTAAAGCCCCTGTGGCTCAATGAATAAGGTGTTGGCTCACTAACCAGGCGATCGATGTTCAAATGTTGGCTGAGAAAGTTCCCTGGGATTTTCCAGCGTGGTTGCACCTTATCAGTGGTGCAGGATTTGAGGGCTTCACAAGAAACAGTTTCTAGTCATTCGGATGGCATAGAAAACTGAGGCTCTGTGAACGGTTTAGTGTAGCCTAGGCCTACACCTACACGTAAAAGTGCCCTTGACGGTTGGAATTCGAAATAAGCGTAGGCTTTAGCTTTGCTGTTCGAGCAAAATTTGCTTCATACTATACGGTATTCATAGACAGTGCATGGTGGACGCTCGTCTTCATTAGTTCTGTTGGTACAGAAAAGTACCAATTTCATTTAAACGACCGTGCTAGGGCAAAGGTTAAATATTTGATGTGACCAAGGATGCTACGAATACGATTCCCCTATATGGCATGCAATGTATCATGTTAATACTATGTTAACTATGTAGTACTAGTAATGTAAAGTAAAAGTTATTAATCGATTTGAGTAACTTCTGTACGTCGCAGGGCTTGATGTAATTGTAAAGTAACTAGGCCTGATGCAGCATATACTTGAAGTCCGGTACTTTTGATTATGTATGATCCTAATCTTTATTTTTAACTTTTAGGCATGTTGGGTTTTTAATACATTACCTTTTCAAATATGTATATTAAATTCTCCATGATTTGTACATTCGAGGTCTCCACACATTTGGAATGACGATAACTGACTGAAGAACGCCTATAGGATATGCCTTCGACATAAGATATAGTTCTTAATAATTGGGTTCTGAATGTAACATTTTTGACACGTAATATCTTGTGATGGTGTTGAATATTTCTTTAAAAGATTATTTACAAGATAAAACTTGTAAATAGATCCTAAAATTGTTTATTTGGCAATTAATGATACAGAACATTTTCTTTTATTTATACACGACTTCCGGTTCCGTCGTGTATTCTTGAGCTAAGAGAAAGGCAGGTGCTTCTGTGGTTTCGAAGATGAGCAGTCCAGGAAAATATCCCCCACAATACAACCCAAAAATTCACGGAGCATACGACCCAGGCAGATTTTATGGCAAAGGTTTATTTCATATTGTCATAAGTTATTGTTCTTTGATAATGTTACAAATGTAAAAATTTATTTTGCTATTGACTGGCAATTGTTGAAGGTCATTTCTATTCTCATTCTCTTGACTTGACTTATGGCTTGACTTAATTACCATTGCATTGAATCACTGATTATTGAGTCTGGTGCTATGATGTAACTGGTTATCGTTGAAACCCTCTCTGTGCCAAAGATCGTACATTGGGTAGTAGTTCTTAATGGAGATATAGACTTCCATGTTGAGGTTATCGCATATGTTTTCTTCACCAAAATCAATATGCATGATCATTTCGGCAACACTGTAGAGTGTAGGGGTATCCAGACAAGTGAGGCCGAAGACAACTAACAAAATGACATGTCGGACAATTTTATTTTATATTCCTGCTTGAAATTGAATACCATTTTTATACATTTTGACTTAAGCCTTTATAATTACGTTATATCAGAATACAAGAATGAGTTAATTTGTAAAACGACAAGATGATTTACCCAATACTATTAATACTACCAAACACCACAACATATACTACCTCATTTTTGTGAAAGACTAACAGAATGGTTGAATTATACCAAAAGAAATTGAGATAATACACGGTATTAGCAAACTTTTTACAGAAAAACTGGTAAAGACTATTAATACTAGTATCAGTATAAGCAGTTCAAGAATCTGAAACACTAACCCAATATAATCAATTACTAATCCAATTATACTGCAAAATACAACCATGTGAGTTAACTGAAAAGGTGCAAAATTTGTACGGTATAGTATGAGTGATACATAAAATGGCAAAACATTGAATAAATAAATTATTGTTAACCAATAATAGTACTTTTATCTCTTTTTTTTGGTAATAAATGGTCCATTATTTTACAGAAATGGATTGATTTTTGCTAGATGGTTTAATATTTGTTAGCATTGAGTGTTCAAGGATGATTTAATGGGAAATGAAATGAAATGGGGTTTAACGTCCTACTGTTTTGCTCCGAACTGGGCTAACAAAGACAGGCATATGCCATACAGTGTGCTATGAGGGAAATTTTGCCCTGACAGCGGCACTACGGCCTACTCTTATATCGAATTCCAACTGTCAAGGGATCTTTTACGTGCATGCCAATGTGTATACAATGGACCTCGGTTTTTCGTCTCATCCGAATGACTAGACAGTTGTCCTTGTCAGAACCTCCGTCCTGCATCACTGATAAGGGATTGCATGACATGAACCAATGCTTTTGCCTACATTCTTTTGCAGGTTTTCCACGAATTAAATCAATTTTATTTTATATAATAAAGTGTTATATTAGTTTTTCACAATAACGAGATAGTATTAGGTAGTAGGCTTTTGGGTTGAAAAATGCTAATTATTACTATCGGTACTAAATTCAAATGCGGGAGGCTTTGTGAGTAAGGCACTCAGTAACATGAGTCGAGGGTTTAAAGCCAGTGTTGGCCGTGAAAATTCCCCAGAGGTTTCTAGCATGGTTTCCACCTGTTCTTTGGACAGAGGGGTCTTTCTAGGGACAGTGTCTAGTCATTTGTAAGGAACAAAAAAATGAGGTCTCATCTACACATTGTATGGCTGTATGGCATATGCCCATCTTTATTATCCCAGTTGGTGCATAAAAGTAGGATGTTAAACGTTATTCCCATTCCTTTCCTTCCAAATTCATTTGCAGAACTAAAACAATAGGAAGTTTCTATTAAATGTCATTGTCAACATTATGGACAATTTCTAATCTTTACCCTCTTTTTTGTTTACAGTTGATTTACATATAAGTGAGGTTAAACTTGGAGAGCTTGGTTCATGGCTTTCTCGTAGAAGTTATTCTCCACAGTCTATGGTATCTGCTGTTGGTAGAAGTAAGTAATCTAGCAAACTATAAACATGTAACTGAAGTCAGAAATGAAAATTTCTTTTAACTTTCTTGGTCCTCATATGACACACTATTAGTATTAATGACTTCCCAATTTAGCTTTATGACAAATAGCGTAAATTGGGAATGGTTAATTTAGATATAGACCTATTTACTGTTTAGGCTAGCCTCCATGTAATGATATTCTGTGAACGGCCATATGAATACCTACATATATAAAATACATTACTAGAATAGCCGGTGAAAATCAAAAGCTATAACATACAATATGTGATGAATCTTGTTTAAATTCCAACCCCTACCACATTTCAAGTAAACCTTTCATCAAAGATGTTGAATGGTTTTGATTCCAAGGAGTAGGGACGTTTGTCCAATATAGTGGGTTTTCTGTGTGCACTGGTTTCCTCCCACTGCTAAAGACCACAACATGGAAGCGAATTATTGAAATAAAATTGTTCTAAACAGTCGCAAGGCCAAGTTTGTGTTTAGCTGCATTAAACTCAATTTCTCTCCATGACTGGAGGGCATTAGTATTTTGAGTGTCATTTTCATGGCAGTTGTTGAAGATAATACCAGTGCTGTTTATTTTCTCTACTTACATATCATTTTTATTACTACAGCTTATTGGAGATGGGCGGACAAATATATTAATCCTAAAAGAGCAGGACTTGCAGCACTTTGCCATGTGACACTGTCTATGTCATTGGCATATTACTTTCTTCAGTATAAAGCTCACAGTAAGTTGTATTTATTTTAATATCACATATGCAAGTGGGGGTTGGGTGATGTAGTGGTTTAACACTGATGTTTCACCGCAGGAATGCAAAAGCCTTCTTTTAACTCTGTAGAAGATGACTGACCTTTAAGGTTAGTGCATTATATGACTAGGTGTGACATCACATCATACAGCCTCGATAGCATAATGCGTTGTTAAAAGACTTAGTAACACAAACTGATCTGGGCAGAATTTGTGCCTTTTACTCATTTTATGCCTTTGCATACTATTTTATGAACCCATTTACACTGAAGACAAAATATTTTGTATCCAGATATACTTCCAACACATTTATTTTTTATTTCTTAATAATTTAAGAAACTATTTTAGAGTCATCCCTTTCAGTGATAGTAGTGGTCAAGTGGATATTTACTGATCAGTTTGGTCTAACACATGGCATGCATTAAGATAGTAAGGTCTGTCATTGAGTCAAGTGGATTGGTTCAATCCCAAGCTTGTACGTCATTAGGAGTAGGGTTGCCTGTCTAACCCTGTTGAGTTTTTCCGGATTCTCCAGTTCCCCCCCAATTGCTAAAGACTCCTACCTTATGTTAATCCCAAAATGACCTAGTGCCAAGTGGATGTTACACATTTCTTTATCTCCCTTGAGCAAAGAGATTTTGATTCTAAACAAAACTATCAGAAACTACTAGCTTTGTCTTTTCTTTCAGCAAATCATCGCCATGCCAAGTACCATTAATAAGTTTAGATGTCAATGACATGGTGGAGTTTATAAGATCAACCAAGCTTATGTTATGTGAAGAATTAGACAGACCTCACTTTATGTATTATATATAGATTAATTAAAATTATATTTGACCATTAGTATTTTTGTTTTAAATAAATATATCCATTTATGTTAAATTGTGCGACAGTATATTTTCTGCTTTGCGACTTTCCAACTAGCAAATATACAATAAATACAAATATGCACTACCATTTATTGTTTTGTTTGTAATACAAGCCACTGCCTTTATTAGCCCAGTTGGTGCAGAATATTGGCTGAGATTTGACTCGGGTGAAGGCGAATGTTAAATAAAGCTATTTCACAAACAGAGATAATAATATATTAGGATTTTAAACACTACAGGTCTGTGTTTGTGAAACAAGCCAACCTCTCTCAGGCTGATAAATAGCTATTGTGGATGTTGAAGTTCATTTGAAGTGGTGTGTGTGTGTGTGTGGGGGGGGGGTAGTGAGTATGGCACATTTCGTCGGTAGGCAGGCAAAGTGACTTATCTTCCTACCGTACCTATTGACGATAAGTCACTTCGTCTGCCTACCGACGATTTGGGACAATTTGCAACATAACTCCATTTCTCCTTCAATAGTTCAATTCCCAATGAGAACACAAAATTTTCTTATACATGGCTTTATTATGTTGATCAAGTGAATTACATCAATTGAAATGAATCGAATTCCACTCTCAGTTTTGATCAGAAGAGAGTATTAATTTCAACCACCTGTTGGATGCAGGAGAGAAATGGGTTTTAACATCCACAATTTTATTTCAAAAATTCCCTTGGTCGTACAGGTCTTTAGCAGTGGAAAGAACAAGAGAAAACCCACAAAGTTTGGCAGGTGACCCCAGCACTTGACAGACCACTTGACCATACGGGAGAACCCGATAATAAAAAGTATTATTTTCTGATATAAAACTACATGTAATATATAGAAATATAATCAGTTATAGATTTTATTCATGATAGCCTGTACAAGAATAGATAATTCCAAATCAATAGCTGAATAATATTCATGATTGCAACTAAGCCTGGAAATAGGAGCACCTGTCGCAGGCAATATCAAACAAATTTAGGCTTTAAATTTGACAGTAAACATTTTGTCAGTGTTTTTATTCATATCTATGTCTTATACAAAGTTCAAAATGTTGAGTACACCGAAAATCATTATTTTGAGGTCAGATTGAAACAAAGAAATAAATGTGGCCCACATAGTACAAAAAAAAAAGTATCCGCTAAATGTGAAGTGGACAAATGATGAGATGAAAAATAAATGTTAATTGCACATAACCAAGTAAGAATACTTATGGCACATTTATACATAGACAGCCATAAAATAAAAATAATCAGAAACACCATTCATTTAATTAAAAATAATATATAGGTACATCTGTAACAAAATATAGTTATATCATTTTAGATCTACTCCAATGTGAAGTTATAGCATATAAATGATCTAAGTAATATTGACATATATATTCTTCACAAAATAAAATATTATGTTCTTTCTTTTTATCCTACTTTCCCTAATGTCAATGTACAGTATTTGATGAAATATGTTAGGAGATGCTTTAAACAGTGTTTAAAAAAAACAAGTGGGTGCTTATTGGCACAGAACAGTGATTACATGGAATAGGAAACTGTTACTAAAAATATTCATACAACCAAAAATATATTAATAATATAATAAATATATATATATATATTTTCTCAATACTATACTAACAGGTTAAGTATTTCTATTTGAGGAATAATTATAAAAATATATGATCAAAATGATTCATTTTTTTTTTTTTACTTTTCAACAAACTGTCACAGTACTAGTGCAATCTTAATTGATTTTAAAATAAAGATGCGATATCATCTTTTAATGTTGGCATACCATTATTTCAGATAATGTATGGGCATTGTGCCAATCGTTCATTATTTATACAAGATGACATAATGGAATCTTGTAACAATTTTATTGAAATGCACGTGCAGGATAGTCTATCTGTATTTCATGTCAAGTGTCTCAAGCAAGACATTACATAATATAATGATACAATTATTGGGTCGACACCCTCATGCAGTATCAATATATAACTTAATGTATCCCTCTCCACCATTAAACCACACTTATTTACAACTAAATTTTTCCTGATATTTATGTAGACAAAATTGACTGAATAGTCATGAGATTTATAAGCTTTTAATGGTATTACATGGGTTTATATCAGTGTTTAACAATAGGTAATATCGAAGATCCATTACATAAAAGTAAAATTATGAGTGTTTGAAGTTTTGAAAATATGGTCTCAATTGTCAAGTACCATTTCTACAATAATAAAGAATGTCTTGATATCCATTTTAACAGCCATCCAATGGTCTAGACATTTGGTTATGGGATTTAGCTCTAACATAATGCATTTTAAATATAGTACATAATTCTCTTCTATGATTGAAATTCTCCTTTTCAGTATCAATCAAAGAACCTAATGTGCATCTAGAATTTAAGTTTTAAAAATGTAAAATATTTCAATAATTTACAAATTAAGAAACAGCAAATACATTTATTGAAAAAACATCTTCCAATACCGGATATGTTATCAGTATTTTTGATGAGTGATGTTAGAACTAGGATCCTTTTGTCTTTATAAAGCAAAATAATACAATCTAAAAAAAGTGATGGGACAAATATACATGTATCTTATATACAGATATAAACACAATTGCACATCATTTTCTCAATATGATATTTTTTTGATGGCTTGCAAGTGTAGGGTATTATCTCCTTAGTTTCCGTGTGTTTGTTTTACTGTTTTTCACAATTGTGGCAGTGCTCAGAAAATGAAATTATCCGAGTTTGATGATTACTCAATTTCACAAAGGAAAGGAATGGATTTCAGAAAGAAAACAAAGTCCCTATATACTGAGACACAATAAAACGAACCACTTTTATAAATTGATGATTGCATATCTTGTTTTCTTGATACAAATCACATCACCACGATAACACGTGAGAATGTTATTTTCATTATCACATAAGCACACTGTAGATCAATTCTCTCAAACACAAAAAATTGAATGTTGGACAGAATGGGAATGTTGCAAATCACGATTTTATGGTGCAGAAAATGGATATAAAATGTGGCTTTTAAAAAGCTAAGATCGATGCAACATTGTGGAAGTCACGTCTCGCCTGCACTTCCAGTCTAATCAATGGTGCATTTTTATTACATCTCAGTATATGTAAATACTGACAGTATCTAATGCTCTTCATTCTTTCTCTTTATCTGAAATGGCGGTAACTGACAGCAATGATCTAGACAGTAAACCATTTACATTATCGTCAACATTACGTAATTTTCTCCTCATTTCATCATTTTTAACATCCACATCTACAGGTAAATCCTCTTTTATATTATTATTATTATCATCAACTTCTTCGTTATCATCTTCATTACCAGTTTCAGTTTCTTGTTTCATCTTTATTGTTTCTTTTACATCTCTCCTACCTCTATTTAAAACATTGTCTTGGTTCATGCCTGCTCCCTGATTTACCACAACATTCTGCACCGGAACTTGATTCTGTGATTTTCCAATTGGAATGTTCTGAACAGGAACCTGACCACCAAGACTGTTCTGAGCAGGAACCTGTCCATCAAGATTGTTCTGAACTGGAACCTGTCCACCAAGATTGTTCTGTGCTGGAATTTGACCCCCTAGGTTATTTTGAACAGGAACTTGACCATTGAGATTATTCTGAACTGGTACTTGATCTCTAAGATTGTTCTGAACAGGAACTTGTCCACCAAGATTGTTTTGAACAGGAACTTGGCCACCAAGATTGTTTTGAACAGGTACTTGTCCACCAAGATTATTCTGGACAGGTACTTGTCCACCAAGATTGTTTTGAATGGGAACTTGACCACCAATACTGTTTTGAACAGGAACCTGACCACCAAGATTGTTTTGAACAGGAACTTGACCTCCAAGATTGTTTTGAACAGGAACTTGACCTCCAAGATTGTTCTGAACAGGAACTTTACCACCAAGATTGTTTTGAACAGGAACTTGACCACCAAGGTTTTTCTGAACCGGTACTTGACCACCAAGGTTATTCTGAACCGGTACTTTACCACCAAGGTTATTCTGATCCGGTACTTGACCACCTAAATTGTTCTGAACAGGAACTTGACCTCCAAGATTGTTCTGAACAGGAATTTGACCACCAGCGTTATTCTGAACAGGGACTTGACCACCAAGATTGTTTTGAACAGGTACTTGTCCACCCAGGTTATTCTGTACTGATTTACCCAAGGGAAGGTTTTGTGCAAGAATGTTTTGAGGAGACTTGAAACCAGCTTGACCTTGTGCAAGAACTGATTGATGATCCCCATGTAATACTGCCTTCTGACCCAAAATCTATTAAAAAGAAAATAGAAGCCATTGAATAAAGAATTTCCTCAGACTATTACTAGCGATACACTTGAGTAAAGAGGTACTTGTCAGAGCATTTTTGGTAAGAGCATCTAGTGCATATCAAGGGTGAATTTTGTCAGGGTAATCACATATATATTAAAACAATACTCCTTGCTAGTACTCTGGGAGAGCAAATTCAACACAGAAATTATCAGAGAAAAAAAATTAATGCTATAAATGAGACCTATGCCCTAATATATCAATAGGCATTTCTAAACGATCAAAGCATTATCAGATTGTATTAATTTAATGATAGATCAAACGCTGCATTATTACCTTACTATCCACATGCTCTTTTTTATGATCTTTTAACTCCTCCATTAATTCTTTTTGGGCTTCTAAAATCTTCTTAGACTCCTGTTGTTGTTTTTCTAATTTATTCAATAAATCTTTCTGTTTTAGAGCTGTTTCTTCAATCTGCTTCTCCTTTTCTTTAAGTTTTTCCTCGACTTGCTGGGTGTCTTTCTTTTTTACATCATCTTCATTTACAACAGCCTCTTTCTCTTGACCAACTTCTTCAACACCATCATCGTTCTTGACAGATTTTTTCTTCTTCCTTGAAGTCGAATCTTTTCCAACAGTTTTGATGCTTTTCAACTATAATATACCAATACAAACCATTAAAGTATTTCATTTTAATGAAATGGGGTTTAACATCCTAGCAGTGCTACTGCCTACTCTTTCTAACTGTCAAGGGATCTTTTATGTGAACCCGGCATGTGCACGATACGTCACTTTTTCATCCTATCCAAACATCTAGGTGCTGTTCCTTACCAAACTCTCAATGCCAAGGGGGTTTATTTAGTTTTTAGGGTTCCATCGTTATATTAGTAAATCTTATTTTTATGGTTGGAATCCTTGAAGTGAATCAGAACAAATCTCAGTATGCATTATCCTCTTGACCCCGCAAGTGCACCAAACAAAACCCACAAGACAAACCCATGGACAAGAAACAATATACACAGATATTGCCAGTTATAAACAACAAACATATATTTCAAAGTGAACAGATCCTGGGGCCAGCAGTAAACATTCATTGCCTTGTACAGTCCTGTATTAATACCGGCTTCAAAATGAAAACAAAATGGAAAGAAGTTGCTCGTTGAATTTGGTTAAATCCATCAAAATGCGCTGCAGATCCTTTTATAGTTATTCAAATTACCTTTGTATCATCATCTGGTGCTTGTGGATTAGCAGGTTCCTTCCTTTGATCATCCTTCTCAATAGATGCTGAAAATCCAAACAAAAACAAAATTATATATAAACAGTAATACTGATGTATAAAAATTTGTATTTTCTCGAAAACCAAATTTCACAATATATTGCAATAACGATTGCACAAAAAGTAGATAAATTTTTTATTGGTGATTACCTTTAACTTCAGGTTTTTCTATTTGTTTATCAGGTATATCTAATTTGTTAACAATATCTTTTACTGTATCTTTAGCTATATGGTGTCCATGTCCCTTCTCTACAGTATTCAGTAAACTAAAGGTGCTAATCAACATGATGGTAACGCCACATATAAGAACAATCTGAAAAATGAAATAAAATCTACAAAATGTTGCATATCTTTATTTTATTAATTCACATCTAGTCACTTTAACGGTGTATGACATCAGGTAGGCGATCATACTTGTCAAAGCTTTCTTAATTTTCATGATCTGTGGCAAAACAAGCTATACCATTCAGTTACCCAACCCCACTATTCAATGTATGAATAAAATGAAATGGGGCTTAACATCCTACTTTTCTGAACCAATTGGACGGATGATGACAGGCATATGCCATGCAGTTTGCTATGAGAGAAATTTTGCAAAGACAGGAGCACTAAGGACTGCTCTGATTTTTATTTTCAACTGCTTGGGGGTCTTTTATATGCTGCCAATGGTACACTTCAGAACTTTCCTTCTCAGATCCAACTCCTGATGCTATGAATAGCATTCATTTACTTTTTGGGCAAGCTTTATCTTATTTTGTACTGCAATGGCAAACATTACAAAAGTCCAATGGATGACCGTTTTGTTGGTTGTACAAGTACTGTTTATTTAGCTTTGAGACTTATGTTAAATAAGGTTAATGTGTTTCAAAGAAACAATTAAACTTACCTGTGCCAAACCTTTTGATTCCCCTTTATTGACTTTCAGAAAAAATATGGCTGGGAATATAAAACACATCAGAGTACCCATAGTAGCACCATTAAAACTTAATATAAACTCAACTGAAAATACAATTTATAGTATTTGTATTTTTCATACAAGCCATATCATAAAAAAAAAATGTTTCTATTAGCAATCACTGACCAGATTTTAAGGTACTTTATATTTTAATCTTTTCTCCCTTGTGGACAATTCACAACCGTATCTAAATTTAAATTCTGTATGCAAAATATGCATTTATGATTTAAAAAATTGACATCAGTACACAATAACAATGATTTTCAAAAAAAAAGGTTAAAAATTACTTAAATATACAAAGCAAGATTCAACAGCGATAATAAAAAAAACCTGCTAATTTTGTGCTTTTCATCTTTAAGCCATGTTTAAAATTACAGGCCTGCCATGATGTGCCAGAGATAGTCACATTTTGAAATAAACTACCAGTTCTAGTTCACTATATTTCTTTCAGTAAATGATCTTACCATTTGGAACAATAATAGCAACAATCATAGGAACAATTACAATGAATAAGGTAAGAATTTTAAAATGTATTTCTGGAATATGTGTTTGTGCTGGCATATCATCATGACCCTTTGGTTTGTACTGAAAGAGACAGAAGTAGAAATTAGAATTACATAAAGCTATGTGTAAAAGAAATTGGTCAAATGTATTGAATGTTGAAACAAACTCAAATGACAAAATAAAATTAATTAGTATTGATCAAATATATATATATATATTGCCTCATGTTAGTTTTTTACTTACCTGGATTTGTGAACAGAGAACCCAAGGTTAGGAACTGACTTTAAAATGTTTATTGTGCTTAACTATTGGATATTAGGAGCCCATATATTCACAGTAAGATAACATCAATAATGATTGAAATGGACCAATATAGAATTATAAATCATCTTTTTACTGTCAAATATTATGGATAACAATGAGTTCAAGTTATATGTTTCTTTAATAAAGAGAGAGAGAAATTGGGCTTAATGGTCACAAACAAAGGGCATTTCGAGTTTGAAATGGTACAAATTTATTTTGATAATTCAGTTCCACGTATGAGCCTTTAACAGTGGAAGCAAACCAGAGGACACAGAGAGTACCCATGAGGCTAGTCAAGTGACCCTATTCCTTGTCATGTACAAGTGTGGGATGGAAACACGCCACTTAACTCAATGACATAGACTGTTCGGCGACTCCCCCCCCCCCGGCCCCGGCCCTTAAATAAAATACAAAAACTAGTATACGAAGTTAATACTTACATGGATTTGAGAAAAGAGTAAATTGTACAGACTGACACGACATGGAAACATAATCAGTGGGATGGTAATGGCAGTAGAAATAACAAAACCAAGTTTCATCAAATCAGCAATAAAAGTTTGCGGAAAGCGTTTGATTATATCTGCTGTGATGTCATCTTCATGGAATGCAATATATCCAAAAAATCCCATCTGAAAAATAATGTGTGTGGTATTTATATAAAAGAAGGAATAAATTTCAAGATATTTAGCTTAAGTCACTGATTGAATAAATAAAGTTTCTTTTAAACTCCCTCAACCTAGTGACTAAGTTAGACTAAGAGAGCAGCACAGCACAGATGATCCAAGATGAATTATCAAACACCTAAGTGAATAATTTAAAGGACAATATTGGTGCCAGTCATTATCACATATGTGTTAGGGTTGGTTAAACACATTCCAAATATATTTTTAACACAGAGATCATTGCTACGATAGCTGAGTAATACAGGTTTCCCGTATCGGAAGTGACGAACGCCAAAGGAAAACATGAGTCGCCGCTCTATATAATTGACTGAAGCGACAAGTGATAACAGATACACGGCCGAATTTCTACTCACTAATAATTCCTTCGAAGACCAAAAGTTGTTATATGGGACTGTAAGAGGATATCTGACAATTCAATAAAGTAATTGAATGTCATTAGATAAGAGAACACGAGAAAAATAGAAATAGTCCCTACATTCCCTTGTTTATATTCATTCTATACCTTATAAAAACACGGTAATGCACAGACTTTTTCTGTTTTTCTTTCGTGTTCTCTTATCTAGTGGCAGTCAATTCTTTTTATCAATTGTCAGATATCCTCTAACAGTCTCACACAACAACTGTTGGTCTTCAAAGGAATTATTAGTGAGCAGAAATTCGGCCATATATATGTTATCAATCGTCGCTTCAGTCAGTTATATTGAGCGGTGACTCGTGTTTTCCTTTGGCGTTCGTCACTTCCGATACGGGAAACCTGTATTACTCAGCTATTGTAGCAATGATCTCTGTGTTAAAAGTATATTTGGAATGTGTTTAACCAGCTCTTAACACATATGTGATAATGACTGGCACCAATATTGTCCTTTAAAGTACAAGAGAACCACACCACATACAAACAAAACTGACTAGACAAAACTGTGGACAAGATAAACTACACAGACATTTGAAGAGAATGGATCCGTGGGTCAGACACATACGTCTACTGTGCTCCACAGTCCCTGGCCTGCAACGACACAGGCTTCCCTCAAAATGAAAAATAAATAAATAAAAATATGCTTCACCAGAAAGATGTTATAGAAATAATGTGACCGGTCTTGACTGTGGTTGTCCCCTGAATGGCGAAAGTCTGTCAGTTGACATCAAATAATTCTAACAATAAGATGACACTATGCATAGAATCTTGGAAAACCCTGAAGAAATAATAAACAAAGTGAAGTGAGTAAACACACTTACCAACAAATAAGCTACAGCACATAAATTAACAGCACTACTGGTAATACCATTTACAGCTTTTAATGATGGTTCTGGTAAGGCATCATATAAAACAAACAACTGCCTGAAAACACAAGCCAAATAAATAAAGTGATAGTTCATATAAATATTTTAAGTCGTTGATCCCTATTATGCATTTTTCAGACAATATTGATTTTTCAAAGTCTTAACCTACAATATAATGTATTAAAATGGATTAATTAACATATTTAATCAAGAAAAAAATACAAATGGATGATAATTCCCGGGTCCAAAGTCAAATTAATTTAGGTGGTAAAAGAGAAATCAAATCTGTACAAACATCTTGGGAAAGTAACAATTTATGTACATGGTTAATGTGTACAAAGTTTCATGAAATTATCTCGAAGTCTAACTAATTTTGCTGGGAAAAAACATATACCATTCAGTGGAGATAAAAACATTAATATTACTTACGTTTGACAACCAAATGAATAAGCAAATATAGAAAGCGTTCCAAAAACTCCTTCGTTTTTCCAGAAAGATACCTTGAGATACCATTCTCCGCTTAATAAATTTGGTGCAGACAATGATAAAACCTGTTAAAAATGAAATGAAATGGGGTTTGACGTCCTACTTTTCTACTACTATCGGGCGAATGAAGTCAGGCATACACCATGCAGTGTGCAACGAGGGAAATTTTGCTGCTAGAGAGAGAGTTTAAAGTCCACTGGTCTTAAACTAGGTCATTTTGGGACTAACATATGATTCAGTTTTATTTCAATAATTCACTTGCGTGTAGGGGTCTTTAGCTGTGGGAGGAAACTGGAGGACCCAGAGAAAACCAATGATGTTGGACAGGCGACCCTACTCCTTGTCACATACAAGCGGGGAATCAAAACCATGCTACTTCACTCAATGCCCCCCCCCATCCCCAAAACAAAATAGAAGACAGTTGTATAATACTTACATAAAATATAAATATAACATAGAAACACACACACACTGTACTAGCTCTACTAACAGCTCTTAAATCTTTTAATAAACCCAATGGTAGACCAACACACAGACATAAAAACATTATCAATCCTATTCGTAAATTGGACGAATTCTGAAAATAATATAAAATGATAATTGATTCATTTGATATAATGAAACTTTAATAACTGGAAATGACACATCTGTTTATGTCAATCCACTATAATATTTATGACAGATCTGTCGGATTTCAATTTTTCTAAAAACGATGTAATGATCGAGAAGAACTTTTTGTATTACTGTTTGCCGCTCTCTCTTTATCTGGAAATGTAATTAATTGAAACAGAATCAGGTTTAACATGGGCGGGGACCATATTGAATTGTTAGGAATCAGACTGCAATTTATGTACCTCTATGGCAAATATCTTAGATAAAATAGCAGGACCAAAATCTCCTATAACTACTATCTGAGCTATTAGTGTTCCAATCTGTAGACCAATCATACTGAAAAACAAAAATGCAGAATTTAGTAACAACCAATTTACATGAAATTAACAGTACAACAGCACTTCAACTACAGTGAATATGGTGATAAAAAAAAGGTGTGAGAGACGAATATGACAACTGGCTGTTGAATTGAGTATACTGTTTAAACAGTGACTTATTGTGTTCCACTGGTTCACAATGCAAATACTAATAGTACTTCCCCAACATGTCATTTTTCTCTATAATTAATATGAAAGTCTTGTTAATATAATCTTACACAGCTTTATTTCAGCATAATTTGAATTTACAGAATTATTAAAAGACTACATTAAAGATTTATGAAATCGACATTGGAAATAGAAAATCTTAAACATACAATATGCAAGAGCTAAATCTGCCTATTGCAGGTCTTTCTTTAGGCCTGAAATGTTATCTAAATTATTAATTAACTCTTGATGTCATCGCTAGCCTGCAATATTTACCGATTTACCGCTTAAAGTCCATTAATGATTTGATACCAAAAAGGATAATCGAGACTATGTTTTTTATCGTACTGACTTCAGTAATGATGAAAATTTAAAAGCTAATATTTTGGTTCAGAGTGGATCAATTTGACTGATATTTTCAGCAAATTCCCTTTACATTATCTAGTTTTTAACTATTATAGTGAGAACTGCCAGTTCTTTATCTAATCTCCCATAATGCCCCTTTAATTGAAAGAAAGAATTTATAATTCTACTTACCCCAATTCTACAGCTAATTTTCCAGAAACACCATATGTATAATAGGCTGTAAATAAAAATTATATATATATACAAAAGTAGCAATACCTGTTGATAGTCAATCAATTTAGGAAGAAAGTCATTTTGGAACTAAAATTATTATTAATCACTTATAATGACCAATTTCTAACAATTCAATATTAAAGATGCATTATGTAAGAGCTGAATATGCCTATTGTAGGTCTTTATTTTAGCTGCAAATATTATATAAAGTATTATTTAGGCATTTATTAACATGACAAGTCCATAATCGACTCTCTAGATCATCGGATGGCAGATATTTCAATGGATTAGAAGTAATTATATTACCCATGAGATTTAGAACTAATTTTACTTAGTTCATGTTATTCTTAGTTTTTAATTAAGGGTTAGGGTTTGATTTAATTTAGAGAGAAAAAAAGATTCCACAGAAAACAGTCTACTATTACCTAAGAACCCATAAGAGCTCTTTCTAGATGTTATGCCAGCTTTCATCAGAATCTGACAAGACACCAAAGTCAACCATGTACTGAACAGCAATATCAAAATACCCAAAACAATACCACACTGTAAAGGAAAAAGAAAAAAACTATAAAATTATATCATTTGACAACTTTACATATACATTTATTCTAAGTGGACTTACTAATAAACCCATTGGTGCATTGTATGAGGCAATCAATTAATATACTAATAAGTTCTCTGTCCTTGCAAAATGTCTACACCTACCTGTACCTAAAAGCAACATTCCTACAGAATGTTTACCTACCAAATTTGGAAGAATTCCATTAAGTGGTTTTGGAGAAGATCTAGATTTTCCCCTTTAAGTTGGCATCGCTCTGCTCCTATTGCGCTGGTCAACTTTATTTGAACAAATTGGAATAAGCATGTGAAAGAGTGTGAGGATACCTTTGATACAGTTCCCTAGAAAACCAACAGGTGGGCAATTACTGGAGCTGAGCTGTTACCTTGTCAAAAATGGTAAATCTAACAGTAACCTAGAGTCTAAATTTTTAAATTCCTGATGAAGTCAGAATTTTATTTTTAGTTTTTCAGGATCTTGTTAAATATTAAGTCTCAAGTAAGTGATATTTTTTTTATATGGAAGACAAATAGTGAGTGTTTTCTCATTAACAAATGGGAAGTAAAATATTAATTGGTTTTCTCAAATAAAATTTAAATCATTTTGGCTTGGGTAAAAGGATTCCTGCAAACTCACCTGTTTAAAACAGTATGGCATAGCCAATGTAGATATTCCAATAATACTGTTACTAAGATTGATAACATAAGGCCAATTATTTTCTGATGGAGTCATTTTTATGTTTTCAGCTTACTGTGTACACTAAAAGAACATAAATAATAAATTTGAAAAAAATATAATCATTGAAAATCAGTAATCTTCTTGTCAAAACATTATTCATCCATTGAAAGCAATAAAAATTTCTTAATTTGTCACCAACTTTTTTTTAACACTATTAACAGCTAAATAAACCGTAATGCTTGTTCAATGAATGTGTAATAAAGATGAAATGTCTGTGCAGTGTATAGATTATAGTCTAGTCTAAAGTCAACTTCCTAAATATTACCTTTGCAAAAATGGATATTTGTGTTGCAATGAATACCACATAAAACGTTGGTAGCTTATATTATATACTGTTTGGTAGAAAACAGCCATATAGAAATACAAAAAGGCAATGTTTTTCAATTGAAAGCATCACTCGCCATCACCAGTCATAATTACTTCAGTCACAATCTAAATCACACATTTATTGTCTTAACAGGTGCTTTAACTACCCTTTTCTGCAGGTTTCGAATTAAAATGTTAATAACTTGTCACTTGGCTTCATTTCCCAATTGAATTAATATGCACTAACACTTTGTTTTAGTGGATTTATTTGCCATAGGCCTATTCAGCTATTTATCAATTATAAATTGCTCTTGTAACTTGTAAAGATAAAATGTGTTCTTTTTGGCTCAATTAATGACAGAGTGATTGAGGCCAGTTATTGCCAGACGGAGCCATTTAGTTTCCTGCAACTATCATGATCCAGAAATAACAACGAACAGGGTAGGGCCTACTGACATTATCACATCATTATGTGACATTGTAAAATTGTTCTATGAAAAGTTCAAGTACGTGCGCTTACTTTTCTTCCTTATTATTAACAAATAATTTGCGCTATCTCAAAAAGCGAATACAAGTACCTACAAGAATTAATTGCGGTTCATAATATTTGCATGATTCCAAAACCTCAAATGTCAGAAAATTGTAACCGATTACATGTACATTAGGCCTAGTCGTCTTGTCGCGGTTGTTATTTGTTTTCTGCAACGTGTACCGAGATAACTAAGAATTTAACAAGGGGAGTTACTCTAATGATCTATATTTAACCAAGAGAATATTGGGAGAAAAGTCTGAACAATCATGACTACGGAAAAATTCTACTTTCGTTTGTTTGCTTCCTTATCAAATAATTGAATATTTTCACGAATTTTTACAGAGTATAATATTTGGAGGCAAACAAACCATTAAAATGGCAAGGTGAGGGTTTTCTTTTAAATTATTTAAAACAAGATTGAGTATCTGGTTTGTTATTTAATAATTATTTTTTTTTATGGTACCGATTTAACCGATAGGTAACAGGACCATAGCCTGCTTGCTGACTGCGGAGGGGCAGTGGGTTTTTTTGTGGGGGTGGGGTGGGGGCACAGTCTACAGTAGGTATTTTAAAGCTATGGTCGGCAACCTTTTTTTTTGGGGGGGGGGACATTTTTTCAGGGCGGGGGCATGCCCCCCCCCCCCCCGGGCAACGGGTCTGATAGGTAATTTCTTCTTTTACCGTACTCTTTGAAAATGTATGTATCATCAGGTGTATGCCACAAGGTCGTTCTGAAGTAAAGTTATTGGTTTCCGGAGAACTATCGAATGTCTCTATTAGATGTGTTCCTCTAGTAGCCTATCATCTTGTTCTAATCCTTTTAACCGAGAAAGTATTTGTAATGAAATAATTAATTGTAGAATCAAAGTGACTAAAGTTTTTGGGTTTTTTTTTTTATCGACCACTGATAAGAGAAAGATTTGCATATAATCAATTTTCATCTTTAACGTCCATCTAATTTAAATTGATTACCCTAATCAGCGAATTTGACAATTTCAAAAGTGATTACCCTAAGTCACCTGAACAATTTCCAGTCACAAGAAATGTTTACAGCTAATCTAGGCATTTAACAAACTCGATAAAAACGCCTTAAATAAGTGGACTTTTACGAAGTGTCAACTAATTGGTCTGTCATAGGTTATTTTGATATGCCTTCAATTTTCCATTACTTACCCGTAAAATCCAGTAGTGTTCACCCTTTCTTGGTGAACAATTATAAATAGGTGGATTGGCAAATAGAAAGATTCTCTTTAACATATTTAGCTTAGAAATATGTATTTTTTGGCATGTTTTGCATCCAATGGTTAAGATCACAACAGTCTATTGGAAATCTTTCAAGAGTTCTTAGCAAGGCGATTTTCCACATGCAAATACAGTGTGTAATTTTTTGGTTGCCCCTTTTGCAATATAATATACTTTAACCAGACAAGGCTCATTCACCCAAGCTTACACATGTCTGTTCACATGTTTTACTTTCAAAGCATGGGACACAATTCTTACTAGATTGTTATGAAACTTGCAATACAGGACTTTGTTGACAAACCCATGTTTTGGTTTGGTTTACTTTAAGAGTCAACAACACAAACTTAAGATTGTTAAATATGTGAACTCTTGAAAAGGAAAGAGGTATCAGGTGTTCTAGAAAGACTAATGAAATGAAAAGGGGTTTAACCAGGCTGGAAAATCCTGTGGGTTTAACCAGGCTGGAAAATCCTGTGGGACTTTCAGCCTACACTGCAGTCAAATCTTGGTCCTCCTGGTTAGTGAGATATTGTTGCTCCCTCTGAAAAGAGGATGCATATCCTGCCCATAGCAAGATGTCCATCACTAGAAGTCTTATTTACTGGATCCCCATTTTCAACTTCTGATTTCAGATGAATCCTATTCAGATCTTGCCTTTAAAGGAGAGTTATCACTCACCCTCGCCTAAACATGAAAAGTAGGAGAGCCATTCACCCACTACATGTACTTCTTTGATATTTTAACCAACCACTGCCTTTTCTTGTTTCGATTTCCAACTGTCAAGGTATCTTATGTGCAAGTCAACATGTACACAGGACCTGGGTTTTTTTTTTGTCCTATCAGATCGACTAGACAGTGTTCCTTGCCCGGCCCTCCCATCCTACACCACTTAGAAGGGGGAACCATTCTGATGCAATTTCACATCCAACAACTGGACCTCCTGCTTAGTAAGCCACGGCACCTTACTCCATGGCTCCCAAGATGTTAATGGGTCATAAACAACAAAAACACAATTTCCTCCAATAAAAATTTATTAAATATTCATTAGAGGTGTAGGCTAGACAACTCCATTTACTGAAAAAAATAAATAAAATAAATCATCTATGTGCCACATTAGTACATTTATCCTAAGTATTACTGATTATGGATAAACATTAGTGCAAGACTTGTCAAACATTGAACCCCGGTATTCTCAGTTTAGGGTTAAACAGTGCTTAATTCAGGAGTAATGAACACTTCACAGGTGATTAGTCCAAGTCATAATTCAAGAATAATTTTCAACAATCCGTTGCTAGTTGGCATCTTTAGCAGTAGGAGGACACTGAGAAAACCCACCAGGTTGGACAGGCCACCCTACTCATGTCACTGGAGTCAATGACAGACCTTATGATCTAAAACCCCACAATATAAGTTAACTGGTGTTTATTAAAAGCAAATAAGGAGGGGGGGGGGGAATGCGAAGGAAAATGATTACAGATTAAAATATTGTGTGATCCCGAATGACATCGGTACAGAGCTTAAGAAGTTGATAAGAAGTACGCATGAATAACAGCTGCCGAGACCAAGCGATTTTTGTTTGGCAATTTTGGACATTTTTTGTGGAAATAAAATGGCCTGGACATATCAAGATCAAAGTTTTCATGCAAACAATTATTAAAATCTAATCATCTATATTAAACCCTTGACCTTTTATTAGATTTGTATTACCATAAGTTTAAGAATAGACTAAAATTGTTTAATAAGATGGACAGACTCATCCAGTAACAGAACTATTTTAAATAATTCACATAGGTTGAATAATATGCAAATACTATAGGGACAAATTGGGGGATAACAAGCCAACAGTGAGGCTGATGTCCCCCGCCGAAATTGCAAAATAAATAGATGACACATATTAATTAATCGCACATTTATTTTTTTCACTAAGTTTCATCACTCTCTATCAGATAGAATCAAGATTATCTTGTCCCAAACCATCGACAAATGAAATCGATTAGCTCTGCTTAGCTTCAGCTCGAAATGTTAATTATTGAACTCAGTCAAGACATTCACCTAATGAACATCTACATATACATCAAGTTTAAACATTCACCTAATAGACACCTATGCCAAGTTTGAACATTCTACCTCAATTAGAACGAGAGTTATTGTGTTCCAAAGTTTCTACCAATCAAATTGCTTATCACTCTGCTTACCCTCAGCAAAAAATGTTCATTATCGAACTTAGTTAAGGTATTCATATAATAAATCTATACACCAAGTTTCATCAATCTCACTTAATTAGAACTAAAGTTATCGTGTCCCAAAGCATCAACCAATCAAATTGCTTATCTCTGCTTACCCTAAGCGGAAAATGCTCATCTTCGAACTCCATCAAGGCATTGACCTAATCAACACATACACCAAGTTTGAACATTCTAGCTCAATTAGGAAGAGAGTTATCGTGCCCCAAAGTATCAACCAATCAAATTGCTTATCTCTGCTTACCCTAAGCGGAAAATGCTCATCTTCGAACTCCATCAAGGCATTGACCTAATAAACACATACACCAAGTTTGAACATTCTAGCTCAATTAAAAGTTATCGTGTCCCAAAGCATCAACCAATCAAATTGCTTATCTCTGCTTACCCTAAGCGGAAAATGCTCATCTTCGAACTCCATCAAGGCATTGACCTAATCAACACATACACCAAGTTTGAACATTCTAGCCCAATTAGGAAGAGAGTTATCGTGTCCCAAAGCATCAACCAATCAAATTGCTTATCTCTGCTTACCCTAAGCGGAAAATGCTCATCTTCGAACTCCATCAAGGCATTGACCTAATAAACACATACACCAAGTTTGAACATTCTAGCTCAATTACGAAGAGAGTTATTGTGTCCCAAAAAGTGTGACGGACAGACAGACGGACGGACAGACGGACAGACAGACGGACAGACAGACGGACGAACCCATTTTAATAGTCCCCTGCTTTCTTCGAAAGGCGGGGGACAAAAATTCAACATGTGCTTATTGCAGGAGAGGCTCTTCTAAAAAATAAAATGCTGAAGACTCTTGCAATTCAAGTGAGACCATCATGAACATGTCAGGCTTGTTCTTTGATTGACGCAAATAGAATTTTGATATAACCTAACAATTCTAAGATGGCGGCGATGATGTCATGCTTGGTTTCTGTCTGGTCCATATAATACCATCGTACATCTTTCTCTTTTTTTGGGGGGGGGGGGGGGGTACTGTACCGTACTTCAGTCTGCAGGCTTACATACCTTTTTATCTTTAGCAGAGCCAATCTTTGCCTTGGCTGTACCTCTGACTTTCTTTTGCCTATTTTTCCTTTCTTTGCGCTGTTTTCTACCAGGTCGTTTAGTTACTGTCATTGCCCCTTGCTACAAGAATGAAATTACTAGTTAAAACAAGGTTGTTTTAGGACATTTGTTGTGGTAGGAATTTTTGTTTTCTTAGAAAAATCATATGCAAGACATATTGTCTATCATTGGACTAAGTATTCCTGTAACATTCCCAAGAGTTGTTTCACTTTCAATTATGATTATGCTCTTGTAGTGACTTTGTACTGAATCTTCCAATCTGATTAAATTACAGATCTATATTTCGTTTCGTTTTTTTTATACTTTCGATTGCCTCCACTACATAAAGATCTGACCAGTTGTAGTGGAAGGTCGCCTATGACTTCAGACATTTAATTAACCAATCAGCGTTGATGTTTCTAGTGGGATACCCACAGTTCCGTGCACCGCATGCCAAGAACTCGCCACAACAATATGTTTCATTGGCTAATCCCTCACATCAACTAGAATGCAGGTTATATAACAACTCTTCCAGATCCTAGTGTAGTAAAGACAAGTAAAACAAAAATTTGAACTATAAAAAACAAAACGAAATTAGATCTGTGTTTTAATCAGATTTTGAAATCCTCATTTCAAAATAGACGAATTTCATTCATGACTTACTCATTTATGTTTACACCAAGTTCAATCGCTCACACTTACAGAAAATCCTCATAATATTGAACTTTGCCAAAGTATTGATGTAATGAAACCATACACCAATTATCACTCACTAGATCAGAATCAAAGTTATCGTGTCCCAACGCATCAACAAATCAAATTGCTTACCCGAAGCA